CCCACCACCACCTTCCCACCACACAAAAAAAGACTCTTTAGTTCGGATTATACTCGGTTTGTTGTTGTTGGCAATGAACACACAATTTTACCTGTGGGTGCTTATTTATGCTTGAAACAAAAGAAATGGATGTATCATTTGTATAAATATTGCCTTGGTAGATATAGCACCATAAGGATTGCATGTATCATGTCTTCATGTGTTTCTTTCCACATAATGTTATTGATTTATTGCTTCCATTGGCCAGTCTGGTATTGCTAAATTTCTCTTTTGTTTTATACATTCATCTTTGGAAATTCATTTTACATTTTGCATTTAATTGAACAGAGCGAGCAAGCTTAGGCGGCTTCGGATTGTATCCTGCTATGGTGTTTCTAATGAATGTTTGAGTAAGGCTGTTTCCCAGCTTGTATCATTACAGGATCTGCAAATATACTTCTCTGATCTATCGATCAAACTCATCAGAACCGTTGGTCGCTCTTGTCCATTGCTGAAGTCATTTACTTATAACAATTATCCATGTCCCCCAACGTTGTCTGATAATAAAGCTATAGCAGTTGCCAAAAACATGCAAGGGTTGCACCAACTTTCTCTTTTTGGAAACTCTGTGACAAATAAGGGCGTGCAGGCAATACTTGATGGTTGCCCCCATCTTGAATCTCTTGACTTGAGAAGGTGTTTCAATGTCACCCTTGAAGGGGATTTGGACGGAAAATGTAAGCAGATTAAAGATCTAAAGCGCCCTACTGATCCATTCCATGACTATGAGTTCTTGAATTATGTTTCACCCAATGACGAAGACTACTATGCTTTTGATGGCTATCCTCTCGATTATTTTGACATGTATGATTATGATGATGATGATCTTGACTTTGATGATGACTATGATGATGGGTTCGATTCTGATCTATCAGTGGTGAGAATTCTGCAGCTGCAGCTTTTCGTTAGTTTTTATTACCTCCTCAAAACATCTTGTTGTCGCATTCATGCAGGACTGGTAAATGTAGAGGGTTACGCGATGGGCTTCCTAATGCTTTGCAAATGATGATATGGTTTTGGATATGAGTGCCTTTTGTCAGCAGATCTGAACAGACGCCTGTGTTAGCTGCTCCTAATCCTGTCAAATATTGATGAATGTCTTCCTCACTTACCTTAGTTATTGCATGTATATGGGTTTCTACTTGCTACTCCTTCTGTCTCGTTTTAAATTGTCTGTAATGAATTTTGGGCATATTTAAGGAAGAGAAAAAATAGAGTTGATTTTCCGAAATTGTCGTTACTTTTTAGGAAGAGTGACGATGAATGAGAAGATAAGGTGGAGAAGAGTGTCTTATTTTAGGGGTAGTTTAAGTATTTTACTCTTAAAAGTTTACGATAACAAGTAACATACAGCTTATTTTGGGACGGAGAAAAAAGTCAAACATGCAAATTAAAATGGAAGAGAGGGAGTACTAGTTTTGGATTTTAGGCTCGTTTCGCTTTTGAATGACTGTGTATTATGTGTATTGTGCGACACATTATCATCTGTGATTGTCTCTGTGAAGCATGGGTGTATCTTACGGAAAGTAACATTAGATGCTTGTGGTGACATTATTATATAATTTTATCAAATGACTAACAAAAATCAAGAAAAAAGTTATTGAAATTTGAGACTGTGAATAGTGAATAAATAATTTGATTTGGGACGAAGGGAGTAGTATCCTAATTGAAAAAAGTAGGTAACAGAAAGAACTTTAGCCCAATTAGTTGGGATTTAACTCATTTAAGAATATGTCCAATAGGTCAAGTGTTCACACTGGTTCTTGATGGTCTAATACACAAAGCGGTCCAATAGGTTAAGCCGGACTAGTCCGACGACTGGTTCCCGGTTCTCTATCCAGACCGGTCGGAGCAGTCCGGTTTTCAAAACTGTGCTGTACCAGTGGTTGTAGAGTAGGAAAAAATGGAAGCCCGGATTCACTCAAAATCAATATCCCATTACTAACGTCTCAGAAAAGTGGAAAAAGAACCCAAAAAGGTCCTAATGGAAACACAAAATTTAAAAAAAAAAAATTTAAAAAAAAAAACTTTCAAAGAAGAAACACAGTAAATAACATTCCAACCAAATTTCTTCTGATCCAAAATCAAATGAGCATATGCAAAGAGCATCGGGGAGAAGAACATCGTGCAACCTTTTCTCTCTCCCTACATAAACCATTATTCCTGCGTGAATCCAAGAACAACAACATGTTTATGAGAACACAGACAAAGATATAATGGTAAATATAAAAACTAACGAAAAAACATTGCAGGTTCGGTATTCTCACGCACGCACATCTTCAGAACTGAAGTCATGGAAATATCTTAAAAGATCAATGTAGTCAGTCACCATCATACTCAAAATCACCACCACTACCATCGCCGCCATCATCATCCATGTCAGAACCATCATCATCGGAAAGGGCATCATAGTCGTCTTCGTCGTCGTCCCCATACCCCTCAACATATTGCAAGAACTCATAGTCGGAAATTGGGTCGGTAGGGCGCTTTATATCTTTAATCTCCTTACACCTCCCACCCAAATAGCCTTCAAGGGTGGTGACATTGAAACACACCTTCTCAAGTCAAGAGATTCGAGATGCGGGCAACCATCAAGTATTGCCCGCACGCCTTTCTCTGTCATGGCATTCCTGAAGAGAGAGAGGCGGCGCAGCCCTTTCATTGTCATGGATCTTCACAACTGTCGTAAGTAAATGACTTGAGGAAAGGACAAGAGAGGCCAATGGTTTTGATGCATTCGGTCGAGAGCTCGGGGAAGTATATTTCCAGGTCCTGTAATGATGGAAGCTGCGCGATAGCCGTACTCAAAGACTCATTAGAGACAAAGTAGCAGGATACAAGCCGAAGCCGCCGAAGCTTGCTTGCTCTGTTCATTTAAATGCAAAGCGTAAACTCACTTTCTACACGACGAGTATACAACAACAACAACCCAGTTGGACCCCACGAGAGTAGGGTGTGGGTTCTAGAGGATGAGTATATATAACAACAAGAGAAACTTAGCAAAAGAAATGAAACTGAAACAAAAGACTTGTAGTGCTGACCGGTTAGCAATATAGAGGATCAATTCATTAGTGCAGAAGCCATCAATGGCAATGTCAACGAGTTCTCCCTGGCTGAGATTCACCGCGCATCGGCACAATTCCTCCAAGTCCTTGGTCTCGGTATCCGTGGTGTTTGAGAGGTCGACGACACGCCACATTGCAGGATCCTTGCACGTGCTTCGCCATGAGCTGCACACCTTAATCCCACTCCTCAGGACCTCTTCCGCTCCCCAGTCTATGCAGAATGTTCGCCGTTAGGTCCCGCGGAAGATCCGCCCATAACCGCGGGCGGTGGCGGAGGGGGGAGCGGATTCAAAGAGGAATCTTTCTTCTTCGCCCTCCACACGAACTTCTGATTCTTCGGGTAAATCTTTGGGATGTTCGCCGCGGTTTCATCAACTGCTTATTAGGGTTTGTGGAGAGAGTTGATTGTCCCTGAATTTTTCTCTTCATTGTTTGCAATGGAAAGTTGGGTTTGAAATTTATTCTTTCAATTTGGGGAAAAGATAAGGAAGGTGAAGAAGACAATTAACGGACCTCTTTCACATCGCCACCTCTTTGCTCCCAATTCAAATATAATGACCGTTGTAAATCAATTCAAAAGGATGGGTGTATAGTGTCAAAGCATCTCCAATGATGAGTATTATGATTATTTCTTTGTCTCGAAATATTTTATTTTTCTCACGTTAACTTGTCATGCTTATTTAGAAGTAGGAAAAAGAGCCAAACTTTTAAGGATACCCCTACTTTAATTTGAGGGTGAATTACTTTGGGTAAAGAGTGTTATTGACAATTATCTTTAAAAAGTAAAGTAAATAAGAGAACGTGAAGAATATTTTTGGTGAGATCCAAAAGGTGTGCTATATTTTTACAAGTTTGCCAAAAAAAATACTTTGGTTTGATCTCGCCTGATTATAATAAGAATAAATAATAACCAAAAAAAATAAGTTGAACGAAATGCTACCTAAAAAGACATTTATTTTGGGGACACCCAAATAAAGAAAACAAGACATTCTTTTAGAGACGAGTGAGTATACATTTAAGAGCAAAGAGGCACATAAGCACATCGGTTTTGATGTGATCATGTAAGCACTCAAAATACAACAAAAGGGGTAAAATCCCAACAATACACATACAAAGTACATAGAGTAAGCACTCGGTTCAAAAGCAAACTTCTTACATGCTCCGTAGTGAATCCTACGGAGTAATATGCTAAGTGTCACTCCAATGTGATTGCATCTCTTTTGGAAAGAGAGTAGCGGAAATGAACCGAGCATAATAAATCCAAAAGTAGCAGCAAGTAGAAACCCGGACTGAATCATTAACTAAGGTAATGTGAGAAAGACATTATTGATCAATATTTGACAAGACTAGAAGCAGAACCGCTAACAAAAGGCACTTGGATCAAAAACCATATCAGCATTTCGAAAGCATCTGGAAGCCCATTGTGTAACCCTCTACATCAACCATTCCTGCATGTATGCAAGAACAATCAATATGTTTTGAGGACAGACAAAAAAAGGCGATGAAACTAACTAGTAAAATGGTGGCAGCACTAGTATTCTCACCAGTGGTACATCAGAATAGAAGTCGTCAAGATACTCAGGTCTGAAAGGATCAGTATAGTCATCATACTCGAAATCATCATCACCGTAATAGTCAAAATAATCAACAGGATAGCCATCAGAAAAGGCATCATAGTCGTCGCCATAGTCGTCAATGTAATTTGAGAATTCATAGTCGCAAATTGGATCCATAGGGTGCTTCAGATCTTTAATCTGCTTACATATTCCACCCAAATCCCGTGCAAGAATGACATGGAAACACCTTCTCAAGTCAAGAGATTCAAGATGCGGGCAACCATCAAGTATTGCCTGCACGCCTTTTAGTGTCATGGTGTTTCCTAAGAGAGAAAGGCGGTGCAGCCCTTGCATGTTTTCTGCAACTGCTATAGCTTCGTTGTCAGACGATGCTGTGGGAAATTTACATTTGTTATAAGTAAATGACTTGAGCAACGGACATGAGCGACCAATGGCTTTGATGCATTCGGTTGATAGATCAGATAAGTGTATTTCCAGATCCTGTAATGATGGAAGCTGGGTGGCAGCTTCACTCAAAGATTCATTAGAAACACAATAGCAGGATACAAGCCGAAGCCGCCTAAGCTTGCTTGCTCTGTTCAATTAAATGCCGAGTGTGAATTGACTTTCTAAAGGATGAGTATATAAAACAAAAAGAAACTTGGCAATTCCACACTGGAAAATGGAAGCACTAAATCAATAACATTATGTGAAAAAGAAGCACGTACAGGCATAACACAAATGATAGATTGTGGTGTTTTATCTACCCAGGTACTATTTATACTAATGATACACACGTATTTTACTGTTTCAAATACAAATAAGAACATACGTGCAAAATTGTGTCCATTGCCAACATTAACAACAAATCCAATATAATCTCAACTACATAAGGGTCCGAGGGTCAAGATGTACATGGTCTTACCCCTGTAAAAAACAGAGGCTATTTCCATTAGACCCTTGATGCATCATCTACTACCCACAACTACATAGAAAATAAGAAGCAATGCAATTTTAATGTGCCATTTTTATTTATTCCATTATTTTCCCGAAGCTATGACATTGTCAATAATGACTATTTAAGCTCCAATAGTAATGGACAAGTTTTAGCTTTGCGTGAGTGATGGGCTAAAAATCAAAATGGCACATTTAACTTTGCTTCTAACATTCTACGAGGCTTTGGTTAGTAAGTGCAATAATGCATCAAGGGTCTCACTGAAACAATCTCTCTGTTTTTTAGAGGGTATGGCTACTGACAACGTACATTTCGACCCCATAGACCCAAGTAGAGTTGGCACAATATGGAGTTTTATTGTTGTCGTTACTGGTAAACTTGCACTCAAATTAGCAAACCTGAGATACAGATACACTGATATTACCCTCTCTAATCTTGGTCCCAAAATGGAAATATTACTCTGATTAGTCCAATAACAAAGGAAATTTTAAATTTTACTTTGTGATATTTTACTTAGAATTAGTATGTAAAGGTTATGTATTTAGAAACTACACCAAGTATTACTAGAAATAAGCTATTACATTGGTAAACTATTTTAAAGAAGTGTTAAACAAAGCAAAGAAAGAGAAACTTGGTCTGATCCATGAAAAGTAAACAAGGTGAAAAAGATGGAATTTAAATGAAAATAATTTGCATAAATAAATGAAAATCATATCTCTCATAAAGACATACTCACATATTTACAATCACACAGGTAACTTCTGTAGTCCTACTAGTCGGGTTTGATGGTGAGTGTACACAGACCATACCCCTACCTATAACAAGTAGAGGATGTATCTAAAAGACCCCAGCTCATAAAGACAAAACATGCATATTAGCATTGTTCCACAAGAATGTAAAGGTTACACAAGTAACACAACAATAAGAAAGAATGCAAATCTATCTACAATGCAAACAACATAAAATAAACACCCTACTAAACCTACCTACCCCCTAGAACCCACATCGTCAAGAGAAAGACGCTGGGTAAGCCAACTAGCCCGCAACCTTAATTATAGATCTCCAAACGCTCATATGTAAGGTTATGTCTTGACAGTCTTGAAAACGCCTCATGCAGATATAAAATTATTAGTATAAAATTTGAAAAAATATACCCCATTAAAAACATGACAGAACAGTTCACTATACAGTTACCTAAAACTAGGAGGAATTCTATAAATGGAGATAAGCATTTTTCATATTAAATTATTTACAGCAAGAAAGAGTATTAGACTCTTAGGTGGTCTCCAATCAAAACACCAAATAGTAGTACTATTTTATTTCCAACCCACCACACGAAAAAATGTAATTAAAAAAACATAACAATCACTGCACGAAATTGTAATATAAGCCACAAGTAATGAACTCTATCATGACATTTTTTTGTGGGATACTGTACCAATGGAAAATGAACTATAAGGCTCCGTTTGGTACACAGAATTCAAACTATGAAATTGGAATTAGGGACTTTAATTCCAATTCTGCTGTTGGATAGCACAAAAATATGTGGATTCAGAATTGGTAGTGCAAAAAATGAATTGGAATTGAAAAATTCAATTTCATAAAATTTAAATTCCAATTTAATTCCAATTCTGTCAATCCTGTGTACCAAATGGACCCTAAGTGTAGAACACCATGATGCAACCCAACCATCTAGCTGGGAAGAACAAATGTAAAATCCATTTGGACAATTTCAAAGCTTCCATAATATTAATAGCATGGTGCATTATTAGCTTCCTTTTGTGCTTCTTTAGATAATTTCACTACCAGTTTTGCATAATATGCAATTTGATGTTTTAAGAAACATATGATCTCTCTTAATCAAATGTATGGTCTCGCTAATAATATGTCAGGTATACATCAAGGATTTATACTGAATTACTGACCATGAAATGCTACTCTTGTTATAATCAACAACACAACACCAGTGCTGTATTAAATTTATACTCCGTATTAACTTTTAAAGTTATAACACTACTATGTGGGAATGACTGTTATATATGATATTCTAATGCCCACTATGTGTTTTCGACTAAAACTTACTAAACTGAACTTAGAGTCTGCTTGGAAAAATGGAAAATAATTTTTGGAAAATGAGTTATGAAAGTTGACCTCTGGGATATAATTTCAGCTTTTTTGTGCTTCCTAATTTGAAGGCGTTTCCAAGCACAAGAAGTGAAATGAACTTTTTTATAGTGCTAAACTAAAGTCAAATGAACTTTTTTAAGGAAGTGAAATGAACTTTTTTTAAAAGGCGTAAAAAGAGCTTGCATGAATTGAATTGAAAATAAGGCAAAGAAAAGCAAACTTTTTACAGATAAACATAGCTACCTATAATCCACATTTCAAGAATGTATCAAAATCACCATCCAAAAGCAATGCTAACATTTTTTTCAAATACTAAATAAGTAAATACAGATTATATGAAAATGAAACAAAGGACGGGTAGGGCTGACCGCTTAGAAATATAGAGGATCAATTCATCACTGCCAAAATCTTCAATGGTAATGTCCAGGAGTTCTCCCTGGCTGAGATTCACAATGTAACGGCACATTTGCTCCAGCTTGTCAGGGTGGCTAACATATTTTGACATGTCGACGACGCGCCACATTGAAGGATCCTTGCACGTGCTTCGCCACGAGGTGCACACCCTAATGGCACTCTTCAGGACCTCCTCCGCTCCCAGCCTGTGCAGAATGTTGGCTGTTATGTCCCGCGGAAGCTCCGCCCATGGCGGCGGCGGAGGAGGCGGATCTGAACAGGAAGCACCGGCCGGGTCTTTCTTCTTCGGCCTGTAAACAAACTTCTTCTTTGGCATTTTCGCCGGTTTCCCCTGCTTAGGGTTTTTTTTTACAAAAGGGAGTAGATTTTACGAGGGCATGCTAAAAACAGGCGTTTCCCATTGGGCGGATAGCGAAGAGCTTTTGGCATTTAGCAACTTTGCAATAAAATCTTAACAATGTACGGAGTTATAAAATTTGAAAACGTTATAATTTTTTGTTAATCTCTAAAATTATTTTCAAACATGTCATGCCTCTCTTTTATTCAAATACAAAAATATTACGAATACCAAAATAGCAACACCATTTTCACTTAAAATGTTAAACAAATATATATAGACAATAATTATTTGTAAGTGTAGAGACTCTATGTGTTTGTGACTCTGTTTAATATTTAGGGTCAAAATTGTATCTCCATTGTGATGTCCTTGTAACATTTTTTATTTTTGGTCATTTCACTTTTTTTGACATGTATGTTCTATGACCATTATACATTGTCATGTTTGTTATTATATCTTGTCATGCTGGTGTTATGGGTTGTTATATTTGGCATTATGTCATTGTTTAACACTTTATAGATAGTTAATGTGATATTATAGTGATGACAGGTAGGTTGCGACGGTGGCAAAGACTATGACGAACAACGACAACAGTGGAATCAGCTGTGGTAGCTAGGGCACGGTAGAGGTAGTGGCAACGGCATGTAGTGTTAATTTGTTTAGGAATTGTAATTTCATCTTTTGTGTTTTTATTTGAAAATGAATTTCATTTGGACTTTAAAATAATGAATTTAGGTCTATTTTGGGTATAACAATACGAAGCTCTTATTTTAGTTTTTTTTCTTATATTTTAATATTACTTTAGTCTTTTTTCCATAAGACGTGCAATTTTTTTGTGGACTTAGAACATGTTCATTTTATATGAACCTTAATACATATACTGATTATTTGTATTGAACTTTGTAAAAAGAAAGAAATCTATTTATTAGCTCATAGAAAATAATTGAGAAAGACCACATTTCACACGTGGACGTTTGGACCACAATAGCACAACTCTTTTCATAAATGTGTAAGAAAAACAGATTCGGTTAAAAAAAGTCATATTTATATGTATTTGAGAGGTCTTCTATTACAAATTTAGATGTACAAGTGTGCTGTGTGCAATGAAATTGTATATTCACCACTCGTTTGCAAGTTATACATTGCTCATTTCATATATTTACTAGTATTATTTTTTACAAACTTTGAACGTACACATTATAAAAGTTGTATATTTGACAATGATAATTTTATTCCTGGTAACAAAACCTTTTATTTTGTTTAAAAAGCAAAAGAGAGTAATGCATACCACAACAATGTGTCACTACAAAAAAACGTGAATTTGACACGGAAAATTACGTAATTCTTTTTATTTCTTTCCTAAAGTTTCCAATCAAATATATTATAATATTACGAGTAGTTCGTTTTTAGCAATTGTTATTTTTCTTTTATACGGAATATTTAATTTTTTTGGTAGTACTGTCCTAGCAGTTCTACACTTCCAATAATCTTCCAACATTCCAATTCTATTCCAATTGTAATTCCATATATATATATACAAACAAGAGAGTTGACCTTTTTTATTTTATTTTTACAAGTTACATTAATTATGATCATGAAAAGATCGGCACCGGTTAAGTTTCAACCGGAGAATGACGAGGAGGTTTTGAGGGCGGCTGGAAATATGGTTTGGATGAGCCAGAAACCATTGGGAGTAGAAGAAGCAATGAACCTGCTCACACTGATGAAGGGGGAAAAGAAGATTCTTCCCGGAGACAGGACGGAGAAAAAGAAAAAGAAAAATAAAAAACGCCCCCTCCGGGAAGAACTTCCTCCACCCCTTCCTCTTCTGTCAAGTTCATGTGGCCCCCGTCGGTGGGTCACAGCATTGACGGGACGGTATTACCGAGGTACCCTCCGAACCTGGAGGACGTAGTGGATCCCGCATTATGCGGGATCCCCTTCGAGAAGCAGCTCACCACCTCAGACCTCGATGACTCGCAGCAGAGGCGGCTATTCATGGTCAAGAGGCACGTGGAGAGGTGCTTCTTGCCACTGTTGATCGACGGGGAAGAAGACGTGGACGAGGGGATTCCGGTGACGTTGTACAACACGCAGGGCGCGGAGTACGAGACGATATTCAAGCGGTGGGTGAAGAACAAGTACTACGTTCTCAACGGCAAAGGGTGGAACGCCTTCCAGGAGAGGAATGGGCTGAAAGATATTAGCGATTGGGTCACTGTTTGGATGTTCCGCCATAGACGTAATGGGAAGCTCTGCTTTGCGATCACATGGAAGAGGATGAACACCGATCGTCTCTTGCAATATAGACCCCATAAAAACAGAGGCTATACTAGAAAAAGAATGTGACCTATCTTGTTCTATCTGTAGTTTAATTTTTTTAACTAATATGGAGTATTTGATGATTTACGCAAATCGAGAATACAATCTCCAACCATATTTTTGGGTGTAGGGTTTTAGGGGAAATTGAAGTTAAAATTACTTCCTCAAAAGGAGCACATAAAATGCTTAAATCATGATATGACACTAATTAACAGTGTCAAAATTCAAAACTATATATATAAATTTAAAACTACACACACACATTACATAATTTAATGTGTATAAAGAAACTATACAAATTATAAATTTCTTCTCGACATATTGAACCTTCACTAAAAGTAATTTTGAAGTTATAATCAGTAATTTTCATTCTCTCCGTCTTAATTTACATGTCTTAATTTATTTACCTATTGAATCTACTTTTATTCCTCCACTTACTTGATACTATTGTCTTGATACTATTCCATAACAATTTCCAAAACATGCCATTCCACCAAGAGGCATCTAACCATAAAACTTGCCCAAGAAGTGATAAAACAATGTCCAATCTCTATTCTCTAACATCAGCAACAAGGGAGACCCAAAGCACCAATGCAAACCAATGATTAATGCTTTATATACTCACCATTGTGGAGGAGAGGAGACGGAGAAGGTTTTGAAGAGTTATATAAGGTGCTGCAACTTGGAGCCAGCAATGGAGTTTAGAATCCATGAATTGGTTGCAGCTAAGGAACCCGTGGAACGAGCCAAAGCTTCTGCAGCAAACCGCCGATTCTCAAAGATTGAACTTTTCTCCCTTGGCTCACATTTGCCATTGGGTAACTCAAGGCTGTAAACAATGAGAGTTGGTGAGGATCCAGATGAAAGAGCTGGCTCATCCACAGGCTTCCTGTTCAGGACAATTCCACCGGCGGCAACCACCAGGTCGTGCAAATAGTTTTTGTATGACGGCAAAAAGTCTCCCATGAAATAAAACTTGTATCCATTGAAAAGCTTGGGTTGCTGTAGATTGACAGAGTAGCTCAAGAATCAGTAATTTATAGTAAATGCTAAGGGGAGTGCTCTAGGTTTGAAGTTATAATTATTGGAAAGCCAGCCAGTAGGTAAACCTCACCCCCCCCCCCAAACACCCACACACACACCTCACCACAAATTAATGAGGGAAATGGCAAAATGCCAATGCAAATTGTTTTTTTTGGCATTTGCTTTTACCTTGGAATAAAAGGAAAATCAATTTTGATTAATACGTTTTTAGAATGTTATATATATGCATGCTTTCCTTGGATTTACATAATAGAAATATTAGTATACAATAAAAATTGCATATGAGCAGAAATTGAAGGGAACAACCTTATTTGACATTCTTAATCTGCCAATTCTAGGACCATCTCTGACTCCGTGAGTATCGACTGCAATTTCATATTGGTGTTCATCAAGAGGCTCTGCAGCATTCAAGCATGCTTTAATCCCTGGGAGAACAGAAATCAAATGTTAGAACAAAATGTAATCAGAAGCAAGGAAAACTGTACTCTATTTATTTTCAAAAATACTAACATTCAATTGTGAGGATCCATTTACCCCCCAAGACACCCATCAAAAACTTGAATGTTCTTTTACATGCCCCATTCTCATCTGTAGATGCAATGAGATGGGTTACACTTGGGTCCCAAGTCTTCAGTACTGTTGCACCTGACAACCGCTCAAAGTCAGAAACAATAGCCTGCAAATTTAGATATTATGTTAATTTCTGTGAAGTGTGGAAGAATGATACCATACATACTCTTAAAATACAAACATATAAACTGGGTTCCTCTTTTTTCACCTTCTCTGCATCAGAGATAGCTGAGCAGCAAAGCACCAAGCTTTTATCTTTGCTCTGAGATTTCCAAAGTCCGCCATGACTATCGATTCCAACTGAAACTTGAGGTTGATTGATACATGAATTCCTGTAATGTGGAGTAAAAGATTAAAAAATAAATTAGAATGTCAAACTCGTACTTTCTTCATCCAAAATCATATTTCTCATTTGCTTTATGCACAAAGTTTAAGAAAGTGAAATTTATGTAGTTGAGATTTATGCAGAGGGAGAAAGAATATAAGCTGCAAAATTTCTTCATTCAAAAGTTTATTTTGGGACAGGAGTAGTATCTAAAAATTGCAGGCTCTTAAAAAAGGAGATGGAACCATTCTGAAACTTACCTCAGTTCACATTTCCTTTTCTCCCTTGATCTGAATGCAGGTAACTCAGTTGGCAATTTATGACATGCATGTAGAGGGCATAACATTACAAAGTTATCCTGATAACAAAGCAAGCATAACAACTTATTATGTGGATTGAAAAAGTAGCTTTGTTTGTAATATAAAATGTAACACATACATAGTCCCATCGACACTGCAGTGTCCTCTTTGCACAGGGAACGTGAAAACTTTTACGACAAGTCTTCTCATAGCAGCCCAGAGCTGCACCTTTAACTCCACAGAAGCTGCAGGAAATATTCCTACTTCTCCTCAATTCCGTTTCAAGATTAATGATTTCATCATCATCATTAAAATATACATTTGGTGCCCTGCATGTGAGCTTTTAAACATTAAAAGATAACTTCAATGCATGAGTGTGCACGCACGCACATTTTTGTAAAAAGAAAGAGTAAAAAACTGTTTCAACTAAGGCTAGATGAGATTAATATAAACAATTTAAAGTTGCATTTTCAAATCTCTGCACTAACCACTTTACACAAAGTCACAAAATTACACTTAGGCTAACCAGAAAAATGGAAGAGCATTTCAAGAATGATGTCATGCCAACTCATAAATTGAAACAAAAACCTGACATTTGTTTGTAAGAGTAATTTACCACTCTGCACAATTTTTGTGCACACTTATGATTTTTGTTGCTCCAATATGGTCTGTGATAGGCTTTCCATTCAGATAGTGCACCATAAGTCCTGACTCCTGAAATTTGGACAGCAAAACATGAAAAAAATAATACCAATATGAAGAAGGGATAGCGTACAAATGAAAAGCTCATATACCTCGGACTCTACTGCACTATGGCAAAATGCACATTGGATTTTTACAGGAGTCGTCTGACACTTTTGCAAAACCGAACCACTCAAATTGCAAAGTGACGTCTTTGCTTTTGGCAAATTATTTGTGTTCATACACAGATTATTTGATGTGCTTTCAGGAATCTGAGTGTCCTCAATTGAGTTGTCTTCAAACTTTTCTGCAATATCATCCTCCGGTGTTTCCTCAGAAAATGTCACCTGTTTCTTATGCTTTGATTTCTCAGCACACTTGAATTTACTCCTTATCTTTGAACCACAGTTTTTAAGTTCCTTGTTATCAATTATAGGTGCCAATGTATTCAGTGAAGAGGAATTCAAAGCCACATCTCCAATTGGAAGAGTTTTGTCCTTAGGAATTCTCTTTCCCCGTTTTAACATATGGCATGCTGTACGTTGCTGGGTGACAGTTACCTTTCCCTTCTTGCCATGTCTCTGGATGTGACATCTTTCACTCAATTTAGCTATCTTGTATGGACTACTAGGGGCTCCCGTGGGTTCGTGAATTGCTCTCTTACGGCCATTTTTCCTCTTGCTCACAAAGTTTAGTAATGTTTTGCTAGAGTTCCTGACCCTGCTTTTCACGCCACTCATCTCATTCCTTAGAGAAGATATCCTGGGTTGATTAGCATCTTCAATGTTTATTCCATTTTCATCAGGTATGTTTTTTATGGTCCCACTTTTGAGTCCAAGAAGTGTATTTAAATCCACTATTGTTGCCCCTGTATCCTGTACAACTCTTTCACATTCAAAACTATCTTCAACCTGAAGCAACGAATTTATTCCCTTGTAAGTATTTGATTGGGATTAAACCTTTGTAACTTTTCAAACAAATACAATTTTAATTTTTAAACAAAACGGAAGAGTGATGATTTTATTGCCTTGAGAAACAAGTGAGATGAATACCTGCAGTTTTAGTGGGCTCGAAAGAAGTTCGGGTGAGCAAGGTCTTTGTGTCCATTCAAACATCTCACTATCGGAAAAGTGAGTATTCTTTGCTATGTCACCGGGGGCTACGCTCTGTGCAGTAGTAAAATAAGAAACACATTAAGAATTTGAATTCCAGAACAGCTCAAGGGTTCAAACTTAAAATTTCAACATATTAAGTAAAATGAAATGGCATGTAACGTTTGAAGATCGCAAGACACAACTTTCATTAGAAGCTAAGTATAACATATAGCATAAGATCCAATTAATGTTAGCACCCCCTTAGAATACATTCACAGAGGAATTTCCAACCATGGAGGATATAATCTAATATTTTAACTATAAAAACCTTTCCTAGGCCACAACCAGAAGCTTGAGCTTTTGGTTGAGTTGGTTCCTTGATATGGTATCAAAACTTGAGCTCTTGGCTTAATTGGTTCCTTGACACAGAATCGGAGCCTTGTTGACCAAGAGGTCACGAGTTCGAAACTCAGCCCACTGAGTTTTAAAAACTTAATGTTCATGTGTAAGGCTCGAAAAAAAATCCCGCCTACACGTGAGGGTGCGTGTTAGAATATAAAAACCTTTCTTGGGCCACAACCACAAGCTTGAGCTTTTGGTTGAATCGGTTCCTTGACAGTAATAAGAGATCTACTTCTTGGGTTTCAACATGTCCAATAACAAGAGTAAATACAACAAGTCATCAGGCTACTCATTTTTTAGGGAAGGACCATGATGTATTGTAGCTTCTACTAAGTCCAGTGTAAACCATAGCAAACCTTCTTTGGATCCTGATCTAAATGGTGAATAACATTTACTTACTTTAGGAGACATCTCAAGAGGATTTTCATCATCAGAGTCCTTCATATCACTAAAACAAGGAATGTCACTAGGTGTATCTGTGGGATTATCCCTGTCTGATTCAGCCGACTGCTGACTTGACTTCTCTATATCTTCTCTCAACCAGAAAAACGGACAAATGTTCAGCTCTCCCCTCTCGTTTAAGACCCTCTTGCCTTTGTTTACGAGAGGACTATTATGAGGTTCAGTGACTGTGACTTCACCAGTTTGAACAACCAATTTTGTTGGTGGGGGACTTTCTAAATGGTAATGTTGTTGGACTTGAACCCTTTTCTTGGTTGGAAAGGAAGCTCTAAGAAAACTTGATGTGTGACTTTCATTCATGGTCTTTTGTGATGCATTCTCATTTTCTGCAATTCCAATGGTTTTTGGGCTGTCAGATTTGTTTTCATCACCTGAAATTATAAAACTTATTAATTAGACTGAGCGTTGGTTATTTTGCATTATAACAAAATTAACAACCAGAGCATGCTAGAAATTTAACCCTTAGGTTAAACCTACAGAAACAATAAATGGTATAACATGACTAGCTAGCTGTCTAGCTGCATTTTAGTCCATTGCAAATGAAGCTAAAAGACATATTTTTCACAACGTTTTAGCTTCGGGTAAAGAATGGACTAAATCAAAATGGCACATTAAACTTCTCTTGTTTCTGACTTTCTATGAAGTGGGAAGTAAATACATTAATGCATCAAGAGCCTTGTAGAAACAGCCTCTCTATTTTTGCAAGAGTTTGTGTACATCTCCCGATGGAATTGAGATTATACTAGGTTTGTTGTTGATGATTACTAGTTGCAACTAACTAGATAAATGCAGGCGGTAACAAAAACTATATGACTTAATCATGCAACTGTGATGACACTGAAAACTATTTAATGTTTTTCTACGAGGTTTCCAATCACCTATTGTTTTAGTTGATGTTTCGGTTTGAGTAACAAATATGTTCACTCCTGATGCAGCTTCCAGACTCTTGTAAATGTTGACCAGGTTATCCATTTGAGGAGCAGGGCGGATTTCTGCAACACAAAAGCATCACACACCTCGTGAACTTCTAATTACTGTGGAAGTCCATAAAAATAACAACATTACACCAATGCCTCAGTCACTCCTGCCCATTGCGGGGTAAGGGGAGCCAGATGTATGCAGCCTCTATGTTTAAAACATAGAGCGGCTGTTTCCAGTTGACCCATAAGGAGCACTGAAAGTTAAGACTATCTGCTACTTCTCTATTGAAAGAAGTGCAAACAATTTTTTGTGCTGTGGAAGTGCATTTACACAATTGATACTCAACATCCATAACCCTTTAGTGAAGAGAGTAAACATAGTTTTTGAACAGGCACAAATGACAAGAGGTTACGGTTTGATGTACTTTGGAATAAAAGCAATTTTAAGCAAGAAGATCTAGCAAAATAGAAATTCCCTTGGTTATGTTTCAAGCTACTTGAATTCATTGGATTCAACGAAAAACCCTACATCTTCATCACACTAAAGCACATAGAGGGATGAACCTCTGGGCCGGAAAGGAACTTTACAAACTGGACAATTGGCTGCAGACTTCATTGATGCGTGGATACATGAACTGAAATTTAAAAAAGCATGTTGGATGGAATTCAAAACCCAGAACCCGTAATCATACAGTGCGCATAAAATTTGAGAGAGTGGCAGCCATACTTGCAGAAAACATGATTGCACGTGAGTGAAGCGGCTGAATTCAACAGACTTAAGCTGCGGAAAGAGCAAGAAAAACAAATATTATAAACTGATTAAACCCAAACAATCGCAGTATCCAACGAAACAACTTCATTGAGATCCCATTGACAGTAGATCGGTACGTTTTCGAGTAATTCAAGTGAATATTGCACTAACTTGGAGGAAGAATTGAAATTTTTCAGATAGTGAATATTGCACTAACTTGGAGGAAGAATTGAAATTTTATAACTGGATCAGAAAGCAACAGAAGCTAGCAATGGAGTTGGAACTGTGAAATATCAAAACCTGAAATCGATCTATTCAGATAAGAAATTACCAGATGGGGCACTTGAGCTCTCGTCCCATCCTCTCTAAATGTGCGGCATCTGCCATGATCTCTCTCTCTCTCTCTTACTCGAAGACGATCTTCTTCTTGCTCCACCGAGGAAGCGGCGGCGATTGACTGCGAAAATTACCTCGAATAGAGAGAATCGGGTGAAGAAGCTGAAAATCCGAGGGAAATAGTTTGGTATCGGGTTGGCGGGATTTTCAAATTTTTCCATTTTTTTAATTTTAGCGCGTTCTTCTTTCATACTCTAGCGAGTTCCATTGGCTGTACTCTGTAGTATCTTTTTCTTTTTTCTTTTTTCTTTTTTTTCCAATAATAAAAAAGTTTAATTATTAATCTCTCATCCCCAAATTTTTTTTTCTGAAAGGCAGTGCTTGGGAACCGAAGGCCCCAAGTTGTATACCCCATATTTGATCTGAGTTAAGGTATCTCTCTATTTACAAGCAATGTTTTGAAAACCGGACCAGACGTCGACTCGAACGAGGTAGTGGGTCAAGGGTTGACCGGTTGAACCGGGGTCAACGACCCGGTCAACTATGTTTATAATAATATTTTATGATATATTAGATATTTTTAGTTAATAAAATATTTTAATTTTTTTTAAATTATTTCTCAATCTCTTTTTTAATATCCTTATACATATGATATTTCAGACTTTCGATTTTTATTTTATTATTTTTATTATTATGAAAAGTTAATACTGAATCTCTAACAAATACTTAAATAATAAGGCAATACTCATATTTTCTAAAATTAAAGACTATATATTTTATTCTTATGTACATATGACATTTTGAAGTTAATATTTAGTTGATTAAAATGATTGAAAATAAAAAATATAGCATATTAAATTATACTCCGTAATTAATAATATTACTTAATTTTTGAAGACAATAATTTTTTAAATATAAAATATACAGAGTATATTTATTTTCAAATAAAAATTAAATTATTCTCAATTTTTAAAACTATTTTAAAAGTTCATAAATACAAATAATTCACACTTGCACAAAAAACTACATACTAGTATTAATTTTGTATGAACCTTTTGTAAAACCATAAATACATATGATTGATACCTAGATTTTGAACAAAGATTGAGTAGCTCACTTGGTTGACAACTTGCACTAGCATACGGGAGGTGCTGGGGTCGATTCCTAGCCATCACTTTCAAGTTTTATGTCTAAAAATTTAATAAAATGTAGATTTAAGCCCAAACCCGAGAACCGGACGGGTCGACCCGGTTCACCGGGTCCGACGGGTTTGGGCGGGTCAAAAGGGAGTCGGGTTTCTTTAGTGAACCGGGCTGGGGTCGATTCCTAGCCATCACTTTCAAGTTTTATGTCTAAAAATTTAATAAAATGTAGATTTAAGCCCAAACCCGAGAACCGGACGGGTCGACCCGGTTCACCGGGTCCGACGGGTTTGGGCGGGTCAAAAGGGAGTCGGGTTTCTTTAGTGAACCGGACTGGATTTGTTGCCGGTTCGCGGGTCGACCGGTTGGACCGGCCGGTCCGGTCCGGTCTTCAAAACACTGTTTAGAAGAGCAGCAGGAATATATTCCCGCTTAAATGTTTGGATGGTGGACAGTTGCATGTTATGGGTCGGGTCAAATAAAACTGCCTTCAGCAACCTCCCCATTATTTCACTACCCAAGCACATTTGCACAACACATTTGTCTAAAAAAAACCACTTCGTAGAATCCCTAATCCACGCATGAGGATCCGCACAAAAATTAGATCTGAGCCAACAGCAGATCCCTAGCCCCAGACGGACGACAACGGACGAAGCATAGAGATGTCAGAAGCAGGTCCTGCGTCTCAATTTTTGTCTCAGGCGAACGGGAATGGGGCGGAATCTGATGGGGCGATTTCGACTCTAGACGGATTAGTGTGAAAACATCGAAGGAAGCAGGGTCAGAGATTTTAAGTTCCAATTTTATTTATTTTTTTGATTATGATTTAATTTTCACATCTATTAATTTCAATTTTTATAAACTTTATTCTCTGTTTTTGATTAATTCGGGTGTTTCATTTCAATTTTCTTTGTAGTGAATGTTATAGTTATAATTATAAGTGGTGGCTTTGTTTCAATTTTTCATAAATCATTCTATTATTTTCGTGGGTGTTGCAAAGGTACCACCATCTCCACAGCCACCTCCTGCAGGGTACATGATTTGTCCATAAAAAAACCATCTCCTGTCATTGAATTTAAAACTTTTAGACCAGCATGGAATTTCAGGTTCTAGAACTTAAATGGCAGGAGGAGTGGGCAGGACTCTTTAGATGCATCAGTTTGGAAGATACACATGTATTATCAACTTTTCTCTGAGTGTTTCATTTTTGAATGTTTCATCGATAACAAGTTTTTGAATTTGACTATTAGGGAGAAACATGCACAGAAAAGAATGAATGCTCTTCATAAGCTAGGGTTGACACTCCAGCATTCTTTGCCCATGATAAGTTCGGGAGGAGTGGCGAGATCTCATCTTCTTCCATCTTACAAAGGGACATGCACAAGAGTTTCAAAATCTTCAATGGTGAGAAATCTCACTTTTAGCATAGGATTTCTGTATCTCCGTTGTGATTCAGTGTTTTGTTGAAGAATTTTTAGAACCCAAAACAATTTCAGTTTAATTTTTAGTTTAATGTTAGATCCAAAGTGAGATCTAAGTTTATTTATAGGAAAATCTATTGACGAAGTTGATTTTTCTCATCGTCTTCCTCAGTTTTTAGCCTTCGTTCATGTTCAAATTTTAGGGTCAATTTTATTTACAAATTTTATGAATGTAATTTTACCAAAAACTAAAATATTCGTAGGATGACATAAGAGTGGATAAAGGGAGTCATGTTCTTCATTTTTAAAATAAATATTTTCTTTTGACAAGCTAAACAAAATTATTTTAACTCAGTATACTTTTACATTATTGTCACTTATTCATTAAGATCATACAAATGATATTTTTTCTTGACATAATCAAATTATTTTACTTAATTACACTTTTTCACTATTGTCTGTTATTCATTATGATGGAGAGCAAGGCTACAAACGACTCAGGTGGTTGGACTTTTGTGTTTGGGAACAATCTTGCTGATGATGTTGATTAGCTGCAGTATTTCGTGTTTACATTTTTCTATTCTCACCATTTTTCTTCTAAAAAATATACATATGACTCATTATCCATTTAAACAATCTTCATTTAGAAATATTGGATTTGAAATGATCCCATTATATTTTGATGTGTTGTATACCTACAGAAGTTAAGGGTTGTTTGCGTTGGTGTTTTTTAATGGTATCAAGAACAATATGAGTTGAAATCCAAACCTTTGTTCATAAGTTGAACAAGTACATTACATGTGGTACTGATGTGTATAATTGCGTTTGCCACATTTATAAATAACCTCCTAATGGTATCAAGAACAATATGAGTTGAAATCCAAACCTTTGTTCATAAGTTGAACAAGTACATTACATGTGGTACTGATGTATATAATTGCGTTTGCCACATTTATAAATAACCTCCTAATCTGATTGTAAGAGTTATATGAGCAGTCTTTAACTTTATTGAGTTGTTTAAAGAAGAATCAGACCTTGATCCTATTTTGATAGGCTTGGGAGTGAATTGGCGTTGTTGCATCAGCCCGAAAGTAAATAGGACTAAAGGAGCTACAGATCCTCTTGATGTTATACCTGCAAACATCAACAATGACTTTTCTCTACAAACTGGAAGGTCGGTCATCTAAGTCTTCTTTCTTATCTAGGGGTGTGGGTGGGGGTCTAGAGGTTTTGGTATTGAACTCAAGATTTTCGTATGTGTGCAGAAATGTGGTACATGATAGTAATAGCCTTGAGAACGGCGAGCATGAATTTGGTATGCCTTTATTCTCAGTTTTGCTTTATGTTTATGATGGAAATTTTCTGACGCTAACTAGCTGGATGAACCCCAATTTTGGCAGAAATTTTATTGATTTGATTTTATGCAATATAAACAACTTTATTTTCTTCAAAAAAAATTTCTTTCCGTGCAATGCACAACTATAAAAAAAGTCTAGGCAATTTTTATCGCATGTTTGCCTACTATTTAAAAAACCAATCTTTAGTCACGGTCAACTTTATGTTGCTATCTCCCGTGTGACAAATCATGAAAGATTGAAGATCTTATGTTGTGACGCATAAAACAATGCTTTGGACTACACTTCAAATGTTATATATAAAGAAGTCTTTCATAATTTATAATGAACTCTTATATGTATAATTTATTTATGTTTAATGCACTCTTAAATGATCAAAAACTCTATAAAGTGTATTGTTATTCAAAATGGACAGTACTCAGGTGTGGTGTGTATTAAAATTTGTTTTTTACTATATTTATTCATTCTAATTTATTTATTCTTTACACAAATAAAATTATTTATTATTGTACGGAGTATTATTCTGACCGTGCATCGCACGGGTAAAATCTAGTTGGGTTAAAGGTAGAGTGAAACTTGGGGTATAACAAAGATTTTTTTATTTTGAATTGAAATAGGGAGTAAAATTTTTCTTTTTTTTTCTTATTTGTGATGCGTTTGGATGGTAGAATTTTGTCTCAAATCTGTCCTGAATCGATTTAAATTGGAGCAGAACGTGACAAATAAAATTTGGTTTGCTTCGTCTCGTTGTCCGGTTTATACAAATAAATATACTCCGTATGAATATACTTGTTTGTTGAGATAACAAAAAGAAGCATCGTGCAGGTTCGTGGGACACTAACAAAAATTTGTTGTAGGGCACCAAAAATACTAGTAACTCCCTGAGCTTTATTTGATGTTTAACGCAGTTAGGGCGTTAAACACCGCCCCATGCCTTGTTATCGGGCGTAATATGCAATGCGTCAAAAGTTTAATGTGATCAATCTCCCGTATTTGATGATTCGACTAATAAGACTGCACCCGACTCGTCTTTTGAACTTGGAGAAAAGATTTACAAGTGTGGATATTATATTTTGAAGAAATATATCCAAATTAATCCATAATTGTCAAATCCTTCTCGGAATCAATCAATCTTAAACGTCACACCTACAAAAAAGCTCATGAGGCGGCGAGAAAAGACATCAAACAAGTCTTCGAGTGTTGAAGGGTAAGTGACACATAATAGATCGTCCATCCATATGTTATTCTCAAACAAAAATGATGAATATCATGTACGCATGTATTATTCTTCATAATATGATTATAAAAGACAATGAATTTGTAATTTGTTATTACAACCCGGGCGAGGAAGTGACTATCTACAAAGAAAGTGATGAAGAAAAGAAACAAAGAAACTATCAAGAAATTCAAAAGCCGAGAGATTCACAATGCATTAACGACAAATTTGATTGAATGTATTTTTAGTCACTCAAATAATCATTAATTTCTTCTTAATGTAATATAATTTTTAATTTTTTATTTATGTTGTTATTATTAAAATCTTTTCTATTAATGTGCAACCTTTGTCCTGAGGTATTTGTTTAGTTTTGACTTTTTTCAATCAATCATTTTTCAAAATTTGACGTATAACTAAATAAAATATATATTGTATATTAATTAGATAATGTAATATTTTGAAAATAATTTATATAATAAATCTAATAAAACTATTTGTATCAATGTCTAATATCATTTTTATTTAATTTGAGGTCAAGGTTTACCAATTTTGACCAAAAAAAAGTCAAATGTGGGAAAAAAATTCTGGGACTAGGGAGTAATAATTTTTTTAATTAAAGAATTATTTTCGTTTAAATTTTGTAGAGTATTAACTAATGAATTCCCATTAATTTACTTTTACAAAATGTGTATTAAAAGAATTTAAAAACGATGGGATTCTAGTGACACCAGAATACGGTGACACTCTGGTGTCACTGTCATTTTGGGGCTTCCAGTGATTCGTTCGTAAAATTAACGGTTCGTACTCCCTAAACCCACTCCTTAAACCCCCCCACCCTACCTCCCGCCCCTGCACCCCAACCCCGCCATAACTCCCCACAAGAACGGAACATCGAAAATACCCAAAAATGACAGTGACACTGCTAATGTTTGGGTGTCACTGGAAGATAAATTTCACCACTATTTGATCCTTGACTCTCGCTGCTGTGTTTTTCCAAAAAATGTCAAGGAACATGCCATCCACAGATCCACTATTATATACATCAAATTTGTGAGAAAATCTTCCATATGTTCTGCCAACCAAACACTACTCAAATTCTCAAAGAATGAGCAGTGTGTGAACAACAATTCACTTGTGGTCTACTGATATATTTACCTTGAAGCATTTCATCAAACACAACATGGGCATGACCAGAACAAGAACAAGAACAAGAACAATTCATTTGGAAAAAAAGGAAAGTGCACATATATATAAATATAATCCTCCGCAAGAAATTAGTAAAACAAAACACCCAGAGCAATTAACTACTTGCTGCAGCAGCAGGTGCAGCAGCAACGGAATTCGTTCCTTGAAGCTCCTGTTTTTTTTTCTTGACGCGGCGGAGGGACAGAATCAGAGCAGCAAAGCGCAGAGAAAGGAGAAGCACCAGGAAGGTGACAAAGACGTAGATGAAAACGCGGAAAGCGACGGGGGTTTTCTGAATCCTGGGGTTAAGATGGAAGGTTCCGAGCGCGTAGGAGACGGCGAGAAGAATGAGAGAGACGGACATGAGCATAGCCAGGGCCAGGGTGGGATACCCCCGACCCAGAGGGACCCCGCTGATGACCAGTATACATGCGGTGATCGAGAGCAGGAAGGAGGCGGAGTTGGTGAACATGAACCCGCTGTAGCCGTGGCGGTCCCTCGCGGCGTACACGGATTGGCCCGGGCACGCTGCTTGGCCGTGCCCGACCGGGGAGGATGACGGGCAGGCGACGGATCCGCCGTCGCCGTTCTGGATCACGCCGCCGGGGGGGTTCAGGCCGTTCTGGAAGGCCATGGTTGCGATCATGGTGGCCATCAGCCCCAGGTTCCCTCGCATTTCCTTCAGCCACTCGCCGTCGTCGTCATCCGCGGCCGGGACGGATATCAGAAAACGGAAGCTGTGCACCACGAATTCCATCCTTGATTTTCACTGACTTGTTTTTTTTTTAAAAAAAAAACAATTCTTTGAATACAAAAAAGAAAGCAAGTGGGACTATATGACAAACAAAGAAGAAGAAAGCAAGTGGCCAAGTGAGACTGCTTGTCAACAAGAAAGCAGTGCCAGCTACCCGAGGAGGAGGTACTGATTAATTATCGGGTCATTGACCAATGAGGGTGTACGCTCCAAACTCCGGACCCGACTCCGACCGATTAACTAATTAAGGCACTTTTCTAGGATTGAAGACTAGACCTGGCAAAACAGAATCGGAACCGATTACCCGAATCGAAATATTCGAAACCAAAATCGAAATGACCCAAAAAATGAAGATCCGATCTATAACCGAAAACCCGAAATGATCCGAATCGAACCGAAACCGAACTAAATAATTCATATCCGATTTAGATCCGAAACCGATAATATCCGAATCGATTAAACCCGAAACCGATTAGATCCGAACCCGATAATACTCGAAACCGATAAAATCCGAAACCGATTAGATCTGAAACTGATAATATCCGAACCCGATTAAAACTAAAATCGATAAATTCAGAACTATGTTTGCCTTTCAATAAGCATATTATATTTTTAAATTTTTACTTTTATTTTACCATTTGAACTAATTACATTACTTGCTCATTCCCTCATAAAATGGATAATTTTCTTGAAAAAAAAGTACAAAATTTTATGCCTTAAATTTATTATATGTAGAAATTAAAGCTAAGTTATACATATAAATGATAACGCGCAAACAAATAAAATTTCTCTAATTTTTAAATAGTGAAGTGCGATATTTTTTTTGGGACGAAAGGAATATATGATGACTTGTATGGAATAACTAGATTTTATCCTAATTTCATCTCATTATAATAAATTTTATTGATTTGAGAGTTAATTTGATTAGTTTCAAACTAATTCACTCAATATTAGTCAATAAAATTAGATGCTAGTGTTAGCATTTTGAAAAGACTCTCTAGCGTCAGCCTTTACTGTTATCATTTTCAAATTTGATCTACACCATTACATTTAGGTGTAAAATTACTTATATTTGACTCTATTAAATTTAATTTTCTCTATTTTCAACCAAATATACTCAATAATTTACAAATTTTGCACTCAATTGAATAAAATATACTTAATTTCACCCAATTTTACTCAATTTCTACCAAATTCTATTCAAATGGAACATAAGACTCTTTGAATTTACCTTTTATCCTTTCATTTATACACATAAGTATATTAGTATATGTGAGAAAAATTTTATATTTCAAAACTAAATTTTAAAATCAATTTAATTATATTAAATTTATATCATAATTAAATATATATGTTTTCATAATTTGTAGTCCAAATTTGTAAAATATGACTAAATAGTCAAAAAAGGAAGATTATTTAGGGTAGAGATAATATAACTAGAAAAAAATATAAAATAATATGAGATATTGAATTGATGATAGATTGATAAATGTGATAAAACATAAAAAGAACTACGGATAGTTAAATTTTAATTAGAAAATAATATATATCCAAAATATATTTGATCCGAAACCGAAATATATTCGAACTGAACTAGACCCGAAACCGAAATATATCCGACTCAAATTGTATCCGAACCGAAATCTATCCGAATTGATTTATAACCGAACCGTATCTTAATCGACTCAAAACCGAACCGAAAAATGTATAGAACCGAAATCAAATTCGAACCGAAATTTAACCGATCCGAACAGAACCGAACCGATTATAACATATAACCGAAAGATATCCGAACCGAAAAAATCCAACCCGAAACCGATCCGGTTGATCCGATTGCCACCTCTATTGAGGACCAGCCTGAATAAGATAAGGATCAATTCGAGACCAGACCGATAAAATACAGACATTTTTTAGTAATTTTTTTTTAAGTTTTTATTTTTTAAAAAATTAATTTTATCTATTTAATTTCAAATATCCCTTTTAAAAAAGTATTAAAATTAGTAATATGTAATGTCTAATACATAGTAAACATTATCAATCACCATTATTTAAAAATTAAACTTTTTAACATACTATCAGCAGTATAATTAAATCATGTCTGTGGCTTAAAATATAAACTAAAAGTCAACAATAATACTACTGGAGTTAGAGGTGGGCAAACGGGTCAATAAACTAGGAGTCGAAACCGAACCGATAGGTTCGGTTCGAGTTAGGGGCGGGTCCTCTTTTCAATTATTTATATAGAAATCATCCTAAATAGGACTAAAATATAGAGAAAAGTACCAAAATAAGACTTTCATGTTTTTTTTTCAGAATAGGACTTTACACTGTGGTAATGTGATTTTGAATTGTGGTAATGTGGCAGTGTACATGTGCAAATTACTATACTTTTTTGGTAATGTATATGACCATGTTTGGTAATGTAAGTCCTATTTCGGGAATAAAAACATGGAAGTCCTATTTTGAAATATTTTCAATGTTTTAGTTCTACTTTGGTCTTTCTCCCTTATTTATAACGGGTCGGTCTGGTCCTTATAGGTTTTAGGGTCGGTCCGGTTCTCCATTTTAAAATTGCCCAGGACCCGGACCAGATCGCTTTTTAATACTTCGTATTATTATTAGTAATTACACCTGGATCGATCCTCTTTTTAATACTTTGTATTACTATTGACATTATAATGCCAAAATGTGGTTGTGATTTTTTTTGTTGGATGATCAAGGGGGTGTACACTTTACTGTTAGGGTCCTCTTGTACACTTTACTGTCAGGCTCCTCTTCGGTCTCTTTTTTGTGTTGGACGACTTGAAATTGACAATGGGAATAGTACATTGTTGTGGACTAATGATGAATGACCATGTATGTATTACTGAGTATTAATTTATAATCACTTTATTTTGTTAATATTAGTATCATGATAGGTTTGGACCCGTTGACTCGTGGAATCAGCTCGTTTCAAATAAGACGGATTTGGTCTAGTATCAATTTTAAAATTTTGAAAACCCATTCCAGCCCGGATTGTTTTAATAAAAACAAACCAAGTCCGATTTATACAAATCTTAGCTCGGACCGGCCCCTGCCCACCCCTAACCGGAGTTCTCCATAAAACACTAGATGAGGACAAAGATGCTTCAGAGAATATTGTGGATCACAACCCGCCATTCAAATCTATCTATTATTTAAAAAGCCATGGATTTCCATGGGTCTTTTCCCGCCCATTTCATGGTGTAGAGAATATGGTAATTCTTCACCCCATATGGTAATTACTAAATGACAATTAATGAATCAATAAAATAACCGTATATAAATAACCGTGGTAATTTAATTTTGTTACCGTAATTGAGTAATTACTCAATTAATATTACCATTAATATAAAATTAGTGTAATTGGGATCAACATATAACCGTGTAATTTAAAATAACCGTGTATAAAAAGGTAACGAATGCTCAACTAAAAATGGTAATTTAATATAACCGTGTAATTAAAATGGTAACAAATGGTAATGGTAATTTAATATAAACGTTTATAAAAAGGTATGAATGGAAATTTTATTTAATTTAGCTCCTATATTTTTGTATATAAAAACGTATGAAATAAAACAATTTACGAATGGTAATAAAAAGTAACTAAAGAAAATGAGAACGTATAACTAAAAAGGTATTTAAAGATGTAATTACCATAAGAAACTTTAGTTGTATTTACTTAAAATTCCGGAGAAAGGAATTGTATGTTACCATAACCTTTAATTGTATTACCACAATTTCCTTTCGTTACCATAATAGATTACCGTAATAAACCATAATTGTATGTAATTATAATTACCATAAAAAACTTTAATTCTTCGTGAAAATTTAAAATGGTATAAAAACCGTGTATAAAAAAGGTAACGAATGCTCAACTAAAAATGGTAATTTAATATAACCGTGTAATTAAAATGGTAAGGAATGGTAATGGTAATTTAATATAAACGTGCTTAAAAAAGGTACGAATGATAAACTACTTTTATCCTTACTTTTTATAATTACCATAAAAAACTTTAATTCTTCCACTTTTTATTAAAAACTACTTTTATCCTTACTTTTTTATACTCTTTCTATCACATTATACTTTTTTTAATAATTTATTAATCACATCTTATTTTACCTATCACATCAATGATAAAATTAGAAGTCAGCTAGAATCTAACACTTCTTTATTTTTACACTTAGTCAAACTAGAGACTCTTTTTTAGAACGGAGGGAATAATAAATTATACTGCTTCTTCAACCTTAGTTATGTATAGGGTCACCGTCAATTTCACATGTATTACTACTTTCATTAAAATTTCTTTTATCTTTATTGATTTGAGTTTCGTTTTACACTAAAATCAGAGAGCTATTTTTTTAATCAAAATTTCCTATCGCATTCTCAATTTTTATTCAGTTTTTTGTATTATTGATTCAAAATTGAGGGTTGATTCATGATTTTGTGGGTCATCTCCTTGTTCCATGTTGAACATAACTCAGAGCAGTCTTTGCTATAGAAAATTTGGTGGAAAAATATTAATGTAAAATAATTCTAAAATATTAAAAAAATCTAAAAAATAAATGATATGGTTGGAGAGGTTGTGAAAAAGTAAAATGCTAAATCAGTATTGGGAAGCTAAAATAGCATTTAGCTTTCCAATTTTTAGCATATCCATTGGAGATGTTCTAAATAGTTATTAGTAATTTCTAGAGAAATTTACTTAAATAATACTAAAACATAGTGATTTTTCTTAATGTAGTAGCATATATTTTTATTTTCTAATATGGTACCACTGGTCATATGGTTAAGTGGTTATTATTCAAGTAAATGTGCATCGCCACTAGACATTGTTCCAACTAAATGCCTACTATTACTGGACATTGTTCTCTCCACTAAACATTATTCAAGTACTATTTTGAGAATAAAAAATTTAGGTACTACATTGGAAAATGATATATGTTTTAGTACTATTTAGTGCAAATTTCACCAAATTCTACGGTGGACTTAAGATCAACCATAGACTTAATTATTAGCAAAATAAGCATTTTCTTACTAATTAAATAAGCATATGTTTTTTAATAAAATTTTTTAAAAAAAGTCCACAAAATGGTATGCATCCAAGGTGTACTATAGAAGCACTCATAGTTATTTAGGCCAAAGATGACAAAACATTTCCAAAAGAAGTTATTGAAGAACCGATTACTCCGTATAAAATAGTTTTAAACATTGAAGACCATTTATGAAATATTTTAGAATTATAGGCTAAATATGGTGGTACCATTTATGAAAATTACTCATAAAATATTAGAGAACTTCCTATATTAGAGTAAAAAAAACTATGAAAATATCAACATAGGATACTTAAATCTATATAAGATCACATTATATTGCAACACTCATCATATTGTCACACTGTAACTATCACACTATCACTGTCAGGCTATTATCTGTCGCCGCTTGCCACTAGGGTGCCGCCGCCGATCGCGGGTGGTTGATTAATCGCACTGTCATGTTACAGTATCATTACTTTTTCATATTATATTTTGTCGCCGTAAGATCATATTGCACTGTCATTACTTTTTCATCACATTGTCAACATAAGTTATCACATCAGATTGTAATTATACTCATATTTTGGTCTTAAAAAAATTTAGGATTCTTATTTTGGTATCTTCATAATTTTTTACTTTTATCAATAGAAATTTCATCAAAATAATCAGAAACAATAAACTAGACATTTTAAGGATATTGCTAAATCTATCCCGAATGACTATATCGGCACATTTTTTTTCTATATTTGCTAAATCTACACCGTAACTTTAACATTGAACAATGTTAGGTTCACAAACAAAATAGTGACATGCATCTATCATTTTTAATAAAGTTGAATTCATTAGTATTTATTCACAAGTCACAACATGCCAGGCTTCATCATTAAGAGATCAGAATGTGTGAGATTCAATAATCTGCATGATGACTCTATCTAGAGAAGAGGAAATTGGAGCACCCATGGAGGAGGGCCTTACCATCTTCTGCAAACCACTTGAATTATACAACATTATTGAAGCTCGCGCCTCTATAAAAGTATGTGACTAAGTAGCTCTATATACTTCTTATTTCTTCTCAAAAAGAAAATATATAGAAAAATTTGTATTAAATAGGACTAAAACATAAGTCATTTTTCAATGTAGAATTTAAATTTTTGTATTCCCTAAATAGTACTTAATAATGTCTAGTGTGAGGAATAATGTTCAGTGATGGTGAACATTTATTTAAATAATGATTAATAGATAATGACCAATGGTCCTGCATTGAAAAATAAAAATTTATGGTCTTATATTAAGGAAGTCATTATGTTTTAGTCCTATTTAAATAAATTCCCCATATATATATATATATATATATATATATCCATTTAGAAACATATGAGTAGTAGTTTTGGACAACGGGAATATCAAAGGACAACGGACGCTCCTACTCAATTGATTTGAGTAGGGGAGAAAAAAAAAGAGTCCAAAAATTATTTTGTGTGTCAAATGATGTACACGAAAAATATTTAAGGTATATTTTTCTCACCAAAGAAAATTGTGTAACTTTAAAAATGTTTTAAAGAAATTTTGACACACTTATTTTGAAACTGACTCCCTAAAATATTTTAGACAGAGAAAAAGTGATTTTTCAACTGACTCAAAAATAATTTTTATCCCTCAGAAATTAAATTGTTTTGTGCAAAAGATATTGTCATCCTTACAAGAATCCTAGACTCAATAAAAATTAAAAAGTCTTCGGAGTCTTCACATCACTTCAAAAAACTGCGTTGGGGGACCGTTGATTTTTATTCCGTAACTTTCTTGATACGCCTCTTTTCTTTTCTCGGTACGAAAAGTAAATTTTCGATCATCGTTTGAATTTCATCATCCTGTTTGTCATTTATCAAAACAAAAATATTCCAGAAAAATAATAAAGGGGTTTGAACTCATGTCCAACACAATTTTTTTCTTAAAAATGAAAAAGAATAAACTTTAGAAACAAGTTAAATATAAAACTGAGAAAGTAATCCTTAATTATTAGACGTTGGAAATTTTTTTAAAAAATACATTGACAAAGTCAATCTAATTCTATTTTTAAAATACATTTTTATTGCTACCAGGAATTTGAGTTTCTAAAATTATTACATTATAAAATATGAATGAAAAAATATTATTACATTATATAATTACATTATAATATGAATGATTATTCTAATATATGAATTAACTAATTTTATTTCATTAAAATATGATCATAAAATAAAAAACCTTGATTATATTATAATATGAGTTATCATTACAATTTTCAAAAGTTATTGTAAAGTCAGATCAAATTATTGATTTGAATTTTAAATCAAATCATAATTAATCAGATCAGATCAAATTCAATTAAATCAAATCAGATCCAATCAGATCCAATCATATCAGATCAGAATTAAAAAAATCAGATCAGAAAACATAAGTAGAACGGAACGGAGCCTAAAGCTAGGAAATACTAAGATTATATTGAATACATGCGGGAGAGGCAGAGAATTAGCAAAAGGGTAAATTTGGGAGCATTTATTAAAATTACTCCTACATATGGAAAAGAAACTTTGTAACTCCTATATAAGAGAAAGTAATATCTTTTAGTCCTATATTGAACAACTTTTACTTTTCTAAGCTTAAAAAAATGTTTTTGAAAATAAAAAACATGTTTTTTTGAATAGAAATTTATATTAATTCATAACAACAGTGCATAAAGCATCACAAATAAATGCTGGAGAAACATACACCCACTCTAAAAAATCAGGCATAGAATGAGATGCATTAGCCACAAATGAGTCACCTGATCCACTGATCTGTTAATGCAAGACCATGAGATAACAGCAAATCTGCTCTCAATATCAAACAATCACAAATACTCTCAATATCAAACAATCATAAATAACTAGTAAAGTAAGATAAATTTTCTTACTCCCTCCGTCCCACTTTAGATTACAATATTTCCTTTTTGTTGAAATTAAGGAAGAGTCAAATCAATTCCCCCCCAAATTATCCCCCAAATCCCCCAAGTATCCTTCCCACTCACATGGATGAATAGTGTGTGAATAGTGTAGGAGTGGGAGGGTAAAAGAGACAATTTCTTGTAAAGTTATTGACTTTATAATTCTTTTTGGGACAAAAATGTGAGAGAATATTGTAATCTATTTCGGGACGGAAGGAGTATCTCTTTTGACGCGTCCAAGAGCTTGAGAAGCCCCACAAACAAAGTCTCATTGTGCATCTCGTACTTGATACTCCGTAATTTAAAAAGAGCCATAACATAGCTTGAGATTGCCTATATCAATGTTTTGATCAAAATCTCCAATCCAGCCGGGATAGAATTTTATGTTTTCAACTTTGTATTTTAGCCCAAACCCTATTTTGAATGAACTTATGGTATGTTTGGGAACATGAATTTGGATTTCAAATTCGAATTTGGCTTAAATTCCATGTTTGGAAAACTGAAGCATTTTGAATTTGGATTTGAATCAAATTCTTTACATTCAAAACAAAGCTTAATTTGAAATGCATGCACCTCCCCTTGTCATTTGAAATTCAGGATTTCAAATTTTGGAATTGAAATGAATGAATTGAAATGAAATGCTAGTTGCCAAACACTACCTTAAGGATCTCGGTCTTGTTTCTACCAACAATAGCTAGAAGTCCCACGTTTTTGCCCCCGCTTTCTCTTTTACATTAGACTCAACCACAAAATTTCATTTTCTTTAAGAACATGGAAAAAAGGAAAATGTGAGTTTTAGTTTGACACAGAGTTATATTTAATTATCTTCAAAGGACTTGAATATTCAAATATTAGATATTTTAAAAATATGTAATTGTATATCTATAGTTAGTATAAATGTTTTTAGGATGCAAATCTCCACAAAAATAAGGCAATGTTTAATACAGAGTATTTTTTTATTATCTTTGGAGACTGTTGGTAGTGGAATTCTATATATTTAAAAGTTTCTGTGAAATGTTGTACATTATTGAAGGATTCCCTGGATGGGAGTATTCAGCCCAGTAAGAACTCGAAGCCCAATTGAGGCTCAAAAGAGAAGAACAAATCTAAGCGATAACACTTGCCCTTGATCCTCTGCCCAATGCGCAACCTCAACATTCAACCTGAGCACTCCAGTGAAGACAAGTTAGAACATTGGCCACATTTACCATAACCTCGCGATCAGCCTCGGAACTTAGAAGAATTTGGAACTAGTCGCTTGCCAGTTGGTAGGGCCATCCTCGAGGAATTAGGAGCCCGACACGACACAGAAAAATAGGCCATTGTGTCATAATGAAGTAAACTTTATCAATTTTTTTAAATAGTACGGAGTAATTAACATTTTAGTAGTAAGAATAGTAAATTGCTAAATTTATAGTATGCATGTACAGAAAAATTTAAATTTGGAACCCCCTTCGAAATATGGGCTCAGGTCGGATGACCACCCTGTCCCTGCCCTAAACCGCCCCTACAAAAAAATTTAAATTTGCATATATTTTTAAGTAGTTTTTTTTAAACCATTTCTCTATCTAGATTCTACTCTCTAGACTCAAGTTCTCAGAACCTATCAATTATATTGTGAGCTTAATTTCTATTTGATCTTTTTGTCACAGCCATTATTTCTCAAAAGGTGTTTGAGTTATAAACTACATGAAAGCTATAAAGGGAGGTAAGCTATGTTGGGGGAAGTAATATGTGTCTGAATTGAAGGATTCAGTATTATTATGTGATAATGCATTTGCATATAGCTATGTGAGCATGCATATATGTATGAAATTATAATTGTAACGTATCCTTTTATTTATTTTTCCTTTTAATAATAAATTTGTAGAATACAAATGAAAGTAGTACTACCGGTGTTGCTAAATGCCAATCCCAACATTCAAAGGGAGCGTCCTGTTTGGGTGCTCTTGGCCATGAAAGCTTCCAGCCATGCTGAGTTGGCTACTCATGAGGTAAATTACTAAACTCTTATGTACATTTAGGCCCCGTTTGGTATACGGAATCCAAACTTTGAAATTGGAATTGAGGACTTCTATTCCAATTCTGGTGTTTGGTAGCACAAAAATTACGTGGATTTGGTAGTTCAAATAATGAATTAGAATTATGTCCCGTTTGGTATACGGAATTCAAACTATGGAATTGGAATTGAGGAATTCAATTCCAATTCTGATGTTTGGTAGCACAAAAATTATGTGGATTTGAAATTAATAGTGCAAAAAATGAATTGAAATTGACAGAATTTAATTCTATGGAATTGAATCACGTGGAATTACAACTCCAATTCAATTCCAAATCCATTAATTTTGTATACCAAACGGACCCTTAGTGAATTCAATTCTATGGAATTGAATCTCATACAATTTCAATTCCAATTCCAATTCTATCAATTCCATATACCAAACGGACCCTCAGGCCCCGTTTGGTACATGAAATTCAAACTATGGAATTGAAATTGAGGATTTCAATTCCAGTTCTCATGTTTGGTAGCACGAAAATTATGTGGATTTGAAATTGGTAGTGCAAAAAATGAATTGAAATTGGTGAAATGAATTCTATGGAATTGAATCCCATGGAATTTTAATTCAATTCCAATTCCATCAATTTCATGTACCAAACGGATCCTAATGGCCCATTTGGTATAAAGAATTGGTGGAATTGGAATTGTAATTCCATGAGATTCAATTCCATAGAATTGAATTCACCAATTCCAATTCATTTTTTGCACTACCAATTCCAAATCCACATAATTTTCGTACTACCAAACATGAGAACTGAAATTGAAATCCCCAATTCCAATTTCATAGTTTGAATTCTATGTACCAAACGGGACCTTAGGATTTTCTATTGTTGATGTTGTGATCAAAGTTTTCAAACTTTAACTAAGAAAGTCTGATAAAAAAGAAAATAATTTAGATGGCAAAAGTAATTAGTAAAAACATGAATAGTGAAGTCACTATGCAAGAACTCTCGTTTTTCTGTAGGTTACCTTCTTCTTAGTACAAGGAAACAATTGAAATGCCTCTTCTGGTAGCCTAAAAAACTGCGCAGCCTCATCTATGAACTGAGGTTTTAAAGCCTTCCCATGCAACTTCAATGGGGTTTCAAGGTTCTTTGCATTGTTGTTAACTGAACTGAGGTTTTAAAGCCTTTCCACAATTTGAAGCAACTAGCACATTTCTTGACCCAAATCCTAGGGTTAGATCCATCAAATGCAGTCAAAGATTTAAACCCATTTCTATCACCTTTTCCATTCAATCCATTCTCAGAATTGGCATGAATTGTAGAGCTGTGTGATTTTTCCATGATTCGCCTCATTTTCCCCCCACCATATTCTGTTGTCCAGCTCGTATTTCTTCAATCGTCTGGTTTTGCGATGCTGTGTGTTGTTCCCAGTTCGTCTTCAACCGATGGATCCGGCTATTTTCCATGTTCGATTCTTGATTGGCATCTCGTGCAAGCCAGGATTGACAGATTGTTGTTTATCGAGTCTGGTCGGAATTGCTACACAAATCGATGAGTCCAGAATCGAATTGCGCTCCGATACCATTGAATTGCATTGAACGCCTACACAAATCTCTACCCTTCCTACCATGTATGAATCTTAAAAACAGATATGAAGATTTGAGGCATAGTTCAATGGAATTCATTGATGAAATAATTAAAATTAGGGTGAAGACAATTTCTTTGATAGAACATTAATCCTCATTACTCCATATTCATGTAAGTTAGATTTGGATCACAGTTGGAGGTGTTCCACTATGGACGACCACGGATGCTATACACTGGTATCCCAGCAAACTTCCTGCTCCCCACAAAGGATGAACTCAAACAGATGGATATTTCCCGTCTTTTCGTCATCTTCATCACCTCTGGTATGAATCCGTTCATTATTTTTTGCTTCAATCAACTTCTTTTCCTGTCGTATTATTACCCCAATTCAATTGCTGCCGCTCGCAGCTAAGCTCGCCGGGAATTCTGTGGACTCATTGCCATTTCCGTGTAAGTTTGCGGCACTAATCCCATGCCACTATTACATTTGAAACCTGAAAGATGCCATCTTGATTTAGCTTTTCTTTTGGCGAGCATAGCGAGCGTTGAAGGCGATTGCTTGGTCGGAAGGCTGTCCGTTGATTTGCTTCTCCGAATATGGATTTCCACCAAGAGCTGGAGCTTAGGCGAGACTTCCGACTTTTATGCAGGTGTTGATCTTGAACCCTGCCATTTGAAGGTAATTTGTTAATCCTGCAGCAAATGAGAGTTTAATTCGATCACTTTTCGAATTGATGAGGAATTTTGTTCAACCCTTTAGACTTATATGTGTATTCGTTGCAGCCGATCCTCTATGAAGGCGTAACTCCTGCGTTCGGGCTCGCGTGCACACATGGAGTCCTGGTACTTGTTCTCATATCAAACATTTAACCATATATATTTGGATTCTTACAGTGTCTTCTCTGCATTTTGATTGATGATTTGAATTTTTAGGTTGACAAGGATACATTGAAGCCGCTTTGTGCGTTAATTTCTGCAATAGAACTGGGCGTGACAGAGGGAAGCCCTGATGAGTCTTGTGCATACACCGGAAATCCAAGCAATTCCTTGCCTAATCTCTTTAGGTGATCTTTTTTTGATATACTCCTACATTTTCTCCCTCGTTATCTAACCCATATAGAAACCGCTTGTACTTCTCTGCATTTATTCCATATTCCATTGAGTTTGGACCATTCCTAGTCCGGTCATTAGTTCGCCTAGCAACTACTAAAGTCTGCACTATACTGCCACTGAATTGTTATATATACACATAGAAATGAGTCATTTGTGAGCCACCCATGACCCATTCACATATACTTATAAATGCAATAAGTCAAACACAATTACAAGTTGTAAATGGAGGAGTAACATGTTATTAGAACAAGTAATATAAGTGTAGGAAAACAAATCTCCATACATAAATGTCACGGTCTTAACACACCAATTAAGCTAGACCTTATTCACAGTTGATCACTATACTCTTCTATCGTACTTAGGCGAAGAATTTATGAAATTGGGCAGAAAATGGTTGGAATTTATGAGAAGGCCCTCCTTCATCCGAAAAGAATTGCGCCCCTCCCATTAAATTGAAATGACAGAAAGAACCTTCTAGCCAAGTAACAAAATCGGTGAAGAATTCATGAAATGGACAGAAAAGGCTGGAATTTATGAGAATTAATGAAATTGGACAGAAAAGGCGACTGCCTGCGTGCCTTAGGGATCTCGCTTTGCCTGGCTTCCTTGAGGCACTCAGAGCTTGCCTAGTAGCCTGAGGTGCCATAGGCAAGAGAGGCGAGCGCCATTAATAACTATGATCTCAATGTCTCATGCATCATCTTTGCATTTTTGATCTCCTCCCTTGAAAATTCTTCTTTTCTTATGCCGGACAATGTCGTTTGTGTCGTTGCTCTCCATGGTAAACAAAAGTGTGGTGGTAATCGAAGGTGTTCAAAGATAAAATGCAAAAAACCAGAGGCAACAACAACGGAAGCAGTCAAAGAGAAAGAAGCGCAGAAGAATTTTTTAGGAGGTGTATGGATTTGGAAGTTAGGTCTTGAGGGGTAGGGGAGGGAGTGTTTGTCACACAACGTCGTTTGGCTCCTTCAAAGTTTAACATCTCTCTTCGGTGATTTAAACGGTAAGATGTCAGTTTTTATATTTCTGTTAAATTTTAAAAGTAGCATTCACAAACAGTGTCATTTCGAACCCATTTTGTTACTCGACTTTCTGCCATTTCAACCTGATGGTATGGACGCGATTCTTTTTTGGATGGAAGAGGGAATTCTCATAAGTTCCAACTTTTTTCTGCTAAAATTCATAAATTCTTCCACCTAACTCCACGTTAATTTGATATTGTCCGCTTTGGACCAAATCCTCTTGGATCTGTTTTTGAGCCTCATATTTATAGAGTTCTGATGAACCTTATATTTTGGTCAATTTGCTTCTTCACTTTCGGTGCGGAGAAATGTTTGCTCCCAACAAACCTCTCCTCAAACGATGGACCACACAACTTGTGACCTCACCTTCACTGATAATCCATTTGATCTGCCAACCATCTTGCATCACCGCTACCACCTTGCGGGACATGTTGTCACACCGAGAACTCACTTAATGCAGTTCACTACTCATGTCTGCTTTGAACCTGGGCCAAACCCTCGCAACTTTGTTTTATGGAACCTCCCAAAATTCCGCTAACTAATGAACTAGGTTGATCCTTATATTTGATACTCCATATTTTGGTGAATTTATTTCTTTAGTTCTTTACTTTTGGTGTGGGACAATGTTTGTCCCATCATGAATTGCCAAATGTCAACATTATATATTCATTAACTTTTTATTTTGAGGAGGAATGTTTAAATAGACTTAGGGGTTGTTCATATCACTTGATCTGATTGGCTCTGATCTGATTAGAGTAAGTTTTTATTTGGTCTGATCTGATTCGAATAATAATTATAATAATAATAATGGATAAGAATAAGTTGAAGAGAACAAGCTCTTAATAAGTGAAAAAATCACAAAACTTACTTGAAAAGGTACTAGGGGGGTGGAAGAAATAAGTTTGAGCTTATTGAATAAGCCCTTCCAACCAAACACATCTTATTTAATAAGTTTTGTTTGTCGATAAAAGCAATTTGACGTGGCAAACATAGCCTTGCTATGAGCGTATTTGCAGTTATATCTCATTAATCTCATGTTTTGAAGGTGACTAATGACTAATATTGATTATATTTATGATAAAATTGAATATGAAGTTAGAGAATGTCTAACAATTCTCAGTTTATGCTATAAATTTCAATTGTTAGGATGAAAGCTATTATAACTCAGGTGATTTTGCTTCTATATTCTGTGTTTTTACTTTTCTTTAATGGTATTCTATTTTACTTTATCACTATTATTTCTAAATTTAAGAATAACATTTGGTTTGAGTGCTTTTCCTTTACTAATTCTCAGTGCCATAAATATTAAGGAGTATATACATTTTTTAAAACTCATTCTCTTTGTAATGTATTCTAGCTTCTCACCCTTTTGAGTTTTAATGATTCCATTCTCCAGGCTAAGGAGTGGGAATGTTATCTTCAATTATAGGCAACTTGACAGCAAGTTATTAACAAGTGAAGGTAATATCAATACATTTTTGCTGATAGCAAAAGACAATGGCAGAAAAATTTCATTGCTTTAGGAGCACCAAGCACTATGACCACTGCAATTTGTGCATTTACTTGGCCCTTGAGTTATTTAAAAATAACCCCAAATTGTATTGTTTAAAATAGCTAATTGTATTTAATATGGCCAAACATTGTTCAAGGTTAACTTCAAGTGTGAGTGTAGTTTGTAGAGTATCTTTGGGCCAATATCCTGAGGATAATGTTTGAATATTTTGAAACTTATAGTAATATACTAGTAGGGCAAACAGAAGACAATGTAGACTTGGAGGGAGTATCACTCTAGAAGTAACATATGCAAGTAGCCAGCAGAGAAGTTTTAAAAAAGCAGGGGAATAACCTTTTAGTATAACCATGTATTCAAACCTGAAGTATGTTGATGGGTCATACACTGAAACTTAAAAAAAAGGAAATGGGGCTAGAACATTGTCAGCTATCGAAGACTAGATAAAATACTACGAACTATGAAATTGGCCGAAACATAACCAAGTATCAACTCCTGTGGACAAAAAACAATATAGTACTTGACAGTTTATTATGTACTCTGCTGATGGAATCTGATCTCCATTCTCAACTACAACCATCAGTTTATTATGTACTCTGCTGATGGGCTCTTTCCTAGCAGACATATCTTGTCTGCTCCATGAAGCTCTCCTTCAGTCATTGACTTGAATGCCAAAATCTGAATTTGCCCCTTGTGCTTCCATCAACATACAACAGCAAAGCTTTGCTAAGAGTGCGGTGTGGGTATTAAAAAATATGGATTACGTAAGGAATTGAGGGGCATATAAAAGAAACTTTTTAGTGTGACGAGACGAAAGATGTCATGTATTATACTATGTTTGTACACCAGTATACTCTGGAAAACATTTTGGAGCATTATTTTTGTCCCACAAAGCTGATACTTGTTTATCTTTCGGCAAATTTTATACTACATCGTTTGTAGTGTTTTTGTCCATAGTTGGTATCATGTTCTTGTCCACTTTCCCTTTTAAAATTTCTGCAAAACACTTGAGTTTGTATACAATGAATATCAGTATCACATAAAGAACTGCGTGCTGAATCGGTAGCTTCCTCATTTCTATTTGATTAGAGTATGTCCTGCAGCGCTAAATGAGACCATTAACCATTTAAACCAAGCCTGTTTCTTTTCCTCTTTTGGGATTGGGAAGGTGGAGTTATAGACTAAGCCTGTTGCCTGGAAAAGGGGTTTAATATTAATGTTCTATACGTTAACAACTTAATTGTGGTTCATCTTGCAGTAACCGAGGATTTTTCATGTCCTTTCTGCTTGATGAAATGTGCAAACTTTAAGGTAATAAACTAACATTCTTCTTCATGCCAATATTTCTTCGAACAAAATTGAACCTTTCTAAGCAGTAGTTGTGAATTGTTACAAGCTTCAGTTTGATTATGTTTAGGGACTCAAATGCCACTTATCTGCGTCTCATGATCTTCTCAAATTTGAGTGCCTGGTAAACTTCAGTCTGCTGTCATTTTGTTCAAGTATCAATCCTTCTTTAAATGTAACACCAAAATATATGCCAGGTGACTGAAGAACACCAATACATAAATGTATATCTGAATTTCAAAACATGGAGTCCTGAGGTGAGAATGTGGAAATAGTTTATCTCTTTTCTTCATCACATACCTTTCAAAAAAGAATAAGAATTGCTTTCAATGCTTTGTAATATGTCACCCAGGAAATAGTTGTCTAATTGACCAATTGTGGGCTGCAGTTATACACATCTAAAATATTTGTGATTGATGACTATGAAATGGACAAACCCCATTTCCTATGTAGTTAAAAGAAAGAAATTTAAGGTGCTATCATGCCCTCGCCGTTTACTCTTTCATAGTGTTATATCCATTCACATTCACATTACTGTAAACAATGTTTCTCTTATCCTTTTCTCTCAACCATTCAACCAATCAACACGTTATTCAAGTGATATATAGTGGTAATAAGTTTTTGAAATTGCGACTAATCTTTTTTCCTAATGTGGTATTCTCAGATTGTTGGTCATGGTGTTAACATTCGGAAACAGCCATTCTTCTTCTGGTATTAATGATTGATATCAATTATACAAATTGTTGTTTCATTTTAGTTATGTGGCTTCTATATAATACAAATCATTAAGAGAATGATCATACACCTTTCACAGTTCAAAGTCTCTAAGGCGGAGAAGGTTACGGAATGTGGTTCAAAATGCAAAGCAGATACGTACACATGTATTGGATTTGAACATGCACAAAGAAGTCACTGAGCATAAGTGCAATGCAAATGGTAAGAGTTTGCTTGGTGTATTACATTTCTCTAGCACCACACACACACACATTCTGACATACATTGTAGGTTTCTTTACTAACCCACACCTTTTTTTATTATAGCTGTAGAGTCTGAACTACATTAGTTTTCTTGTGTTTTTCTAGGAAGTTCTGTTTTAAGTTTTCCATTCATTTAAACTAGAGTAAATTCTATAAATAGTCTTTTATAACATGGGGTTATCACATATACTCTTCAATTCTAAGATATTATGTTCGTGGTACTCTAAATTTGAGAATTATTTCATAATCAATCCTTTGTGGACTATATGCGGAAAACAATATTTGGGTCCAAAGGACTGATTATGGAATAGTTTTCCAATATAGAGATGGAATAGTTCTCCAATATAGAGGACCACAAACATAATTTCTTAGAATTGAGAGCTATATATGGAAAACCCCCTGTTATAAAGGATGTTGTAAAGGATTGTATATAGAATTTACTCTTTACATAATGGCAGTTTCTGTTTCCAGGCGTGTCCTTTATCTTGATAACTAAATTGATGATCAAATTCCTACATTTTCATCTAGCTGTTTGAACAACTTTGGCAGAGGTTGTAATGTTTATTAATATCATCATCATCAGTAATGTTTATTAAATTCCTACAGATGGTACAGATAAACGTGCAGATCCTGATTATGTGCAGACTGAACCTGGAAGCTGTCCACCCACCAAAGGGCTTCAACACAATAATGCTTTTTGTGGTACCGTTTCTTAACAACCCAAAGCTTTGCTTATAAAGAACCAGTCATGCTATTGTCGTAATGGTTTGAATATGGATTAGAAGTAATGTGTGGATAGGATTTCAAAGTTTGTTGATTTGTTTGCATCCAGTCCTAATATTATCACCAATGCTTATCTGTTCCAGGTCAAGATTCATATGATGCTCCTGATTTTGTGCAGCCAGAATCGGTGTTGCAGACTCCACCTCCTGTAGAGCTTCAACACGCAAACACAGGGAAGGTGGCATCAGTCCATCATGACTCAAATAAGTATGTTTATTGGTTCCTTCTTTCTTTTTTTAAACTTATATGAAAGACAAACTAATAAAATTTCACCGTTTGGGAGAGAATATTGTTATTGACGACCTACTGGTGTGATGAGTGATGACACTACTAAATTGACAACCATCCTGAAAAGTTAGATTTAGCCTTGTATGCAAGTCATTTACATACAGGAATTTAACTCTTTAAAATTCATATCCTTTCAGCCTTAAACTCTTGCAGGAAGGAAAATTCTTTCACTCACGAACTGCTCAGGTATTGCTACACTTTTTTGTATATTTTCCTTTGTTCTACTCTACTCAGCTGCCATTTACTAGCCACAATCTGGATTATTTGATTTTTTTTGAACTTATTGTCGACGAAGCCAATGACTTTGGAGGAAGTGCTTTCTGACTATGATAGTGAGGATGATACAGATTATGATATTGAAGATATTGAAGATCAAAGGGTATTTTTTTTCATCTGCACTTTGCCTTTGTTTTCCTGAAGGGGTAGTTTTTTTTCAGTTAGATTGCTGTGGATGAAACCGACTTTAGTGGAATGAAACATGCCACTTTTATTGTGGTGTTTGAAAGTGTGAAAAAAGACTTGCACTATGTTTGGTTCAAGGAATTTGGAAGGAACAGAAAATGGTTCTCTCATTTTCCTCAACAAAATGGGAGAAATTCTGTTTTCCCTCTTAGTATATTTTACATTCTCATTTTCTTTTCCTTCCACTTTTCTTTTCTTTTCCTCCCTAACCAAACAAGAAAAATTGTTCTCCTATCTTCTTTTTTCTTTTCCCTTTCAAATTCCATGAACCAAACATAATGTTAGGGATTTACTAATTGAATGGCTTGGCTTGGGTGTTGAAGCAAACTTAAGTGTTCTAGAATGTCTTTGTTGATGATTTCTGTTTAATGTGTTGATTGCAGATGTTTTCTGAATTCACTGATGTATCCAAGGATGCGAAGCACATGATGCTTCTATGGAACTCGTTTGTTAGAAGGAATAGGTGACCTTGAAATTCACTCTTCTTAATTTTTCTCTTGCATTTCTTCTTGCATAAGCTACAAAACGGGTTTTGTGCTAGCATAGAAATCATATCTATTTCCCTGTCTATATGTGTTTATCATAAATCTTCACTTGAGAGTAAGAAGTTCATTGCAGAGATTGTTAGTTAACTATTGAAAGTGTATTTCTTTTATGAAGGGTCCGGTTCGGGTGTCATATAAAATGGGCATGCGAGGCTTTCACAAAACTCCATATTAGACTTTTTATCCAAGCTCCAATGGTGCTTTGGTAGGCCCTTTTATTTCTGCAATGAATCTATTCAATCCGTCCCTAGGCTCCGTCTGGTCGGGAGGAAAAAGTTTTTTCTCAAAAAAATACTCTCTCCAAACAGACGGAGCCTAAATTTCTCTATATCTTTTGAACGGGGTTTCCATTTTGGTGGCGTGGTTTACAGGTGGTGGAGACTATTCACGATCAAACTATGGAATCACGGCCTCCTCGATGCCAAGACCATAAACACTTGTAACGTCATCATACTCCAGGACCAGGAGTTACATAGCTCCGGCCTGAAATCTTGATCCTTGTATAAACACCAAAAGTCACCAGCTCTCTGACTCTGGGCATAAACTATGGAATGTATGTTTGGACACAAATTCATGTTTTTTTTCACCCTTTTATTTTGGTCTCCCCCCTAGCATTTTTTGAAATGTTATTGTGGTCCAATAATAATTTGGCTATTGCGAAATAGAAATGCAATTTGCTGAGTGATAAGAATGTTTTAATTAATTACGGAGTACTAAAAATTGTATGAGTAATGCTAGAGTCACAAACAATCTGGACACAAATTTCACAAACTTACCATTTGTGCACTTTTCAATTTGAATTAAATAGTTTTAAGTAATTAAAAAATAAAAATTTAAATACACAAATAAGAAGTTTGTATAGTTTGTGTCCAAGTTGTTTGTATTAAATGATTGATCAAATTTTATCAAAATTAACTAAAAATTAGTCAAACTTGACCAAGACTCAAACTGAGATAGCAGAAAGCAAAGAAATTTTAAATGTACTATTTAGTCTGTCCCTTTTTCTCCTTCCATTTTCCTTGGATCTCTCTGATTAATTTGTCAAAAAATTACTGCTGGGTACCCTAAATTTTGTGATAAGAACTCACAGGTCTCATTGTTTTTCAAAATGTACTATGAAGTACCTTAAAATATCCAAAAGCTTATTACGGGGTGACCTTCCATCCATCTTCCGTCAAAGCTAAATTTCTCCGTTATCTTCTTCATCTTCTTCTTCCTTCTACTTCTTCCTCTTTCTTCATCCTTCTTTTTTCCTCTTCTTTTGCTTCTTTTTTCTTTTCTTCTTCTCCTTCTTTCCTTCTTTTCTCCTTCTCCTTCTTCAATTCCCTTCTTTCGATCTGGCCCAACCCTCTTCCACACCTTTTTTCCATCTTTTTTACGTATTATTATTATTTATTAATTGAATAAATTCCATAAAAGATACCTAGTTATATGTTGTTTTACATATTTAGTCCCTACATATCAAATATTAATAATTTAGTTCTCAATTATTATATCATTTTTCACGAATGGTCCTTTTTAACGTTTCTGTTAAGAACACGGATAAAATTGTATATTCACATTTTTCTCTCTCCTCAATTAAGCTTCCTCCCTCCTCTCGTACTCTTTCCCAAATTCGTCGCTAAGTTTGAAGCTTTAAACCCAAAACTGAAATGATTACTCCTCTCTCAATTGTTAGTCTTTCTGGTGGAACCTAAAATCAAAACCAATAACCTTTATGGATGGGTTGTATCGGTTAGTCTCAAGAAATTGCAAAGAAAATAAACCTTAAAACTCATCCATGAAGGATACTGGTTTCGAATTTGGGTTCCACCTGTTAGACAAACAATTAGAGAAGAGTGATGGTTTCGATTTTGGGTTCAAAGCTTCAAACTTGGCGATGGGTTTGGCAAAGGAGTGCGAGGGGAGGGAGGAAGCTTAATTGAAGAGAGAAAGGTGTGTGAAGACAGTTTAGAACGCTGCAAACAATATCCATGGTACGTCGGCGCATTGCCTCACCTTGGCACCTTAACAACTTTGATCATGATCCCCCGAACTACGGGCAGAAAATTACTCGCGGGTGACGCGAGTTTTTTCGAAATAACTTTCAGGTCCCTCTATTTTCAAAAAGACAACTGAGGTCCTTATATTTTGTTGTAATGACTGGGAGGGGATATTTCATCCAATACATCATCCGTAAGTGTTAATAAATCTATTTTTTTTTCCTATTTTTCCAATACCGTTTTTTCCTATTTTGCCATTACCTTTTTTTTATTTTTTAAAATTTTTTTTATTTCATTTGTTTTAATATAATACAAACAATTTTGAATTTTTATACGATTTTATAGAAGAAATTCTAAAATAACACTTTAAAAAATAGTAACAAAATGAAAGAAAAACAAAGAAATAAAAAAAGGAGCGACCTACGATTTATTACCTTAAAACATTTAGAAAAGAATAGGAAAAAAATACATTTATTAACGTTTATAGATGAAATATTGGATAAAATGTCCCCTTCCAGTAATTACAACAAAATGTAAGGACCTCTGCTGTCTTCTTGAAAATAGAGGGACCTGAGAGTTATTTCAATAAAACTCGCGTCACCCGTGAGTAATTTTCTGAACTACGGGCCATGTTGTTATTGAAGCATTTTTGTTTATGCCATGCCCGAAGCAATTTTCACAGAAATCCAAAACAATGACCTTAAACGTTTAGTTTGTGCCGTTGGTAGTAACCCTAATATCGAACAATTTGATCGATATATGACCGAAATACAAAACATGAGTGAAATGCATATAAGTATTTGAATGAAATACGTCTGGCGCGTGGACTCTCTATTTTGATGGTGAGTATAGGTGTAAGATCTTAGCCACTAACAATTTTGAGAGTTTTAACAACATGCCGAAAGGTTGTCGAGTGTCACCGGTCACAACCATTATGTTTATGTCTCAGCCAAGATGGTTGAATTATTTACAAAAAAAGAGTAGTATAAGATTGGGGTTCAATGGCAACAACAAAACATGCATATTACTTCCAAAATAACAAACATTCTCCGCAATCGAGAGAAAATAAAGCACAAGTGGATAGTGTACGGTAACAACCAATACATTGTTAGACACACATCTTGAGCGGATCCATCATCTATCGACAACTACTTGGTGGACGTAATGCGTAGTGTGTGTACCTATGGGCAGTGGACCTCTGATTCTACACCTTGTGTTCACAGTCATGCTGTGTTTCACTCTTTTCGGCAATTAGTTCCTAAGAACCTATTCCCGTCTAGGTACTCAGTTCAAAGTTACGTTGCTTGAGTTCTTGTAGTGATATAATTCAACCGATTATTTTGCTCTAAAATATGGATGTTAAAAGGCTTCGAGATTCTACCACCAAAAAGGCTAGTGGAAGAGATTCCATGTTCCAGGTGACGTCAACGCACTCGGTACCTAGGCGAGATGAAATTTAGAGTGGGAAGATGATTTTAATTTAATTTGTCTCATTTATGGTAATCAGTGTATTTTTTATTTTGTAATTTATGTTTCTAATATATCTCAACATTTCCTTTATATAAAGAATACTGAGTATGTTTTAAAATTCTCAAAGTTTACAACTAAATATATTATTCAAAATCTTTAACTTTTGAATGAAAAAAATCAAAATGAAAATTTTTAAAAAATGAATGGGGAAGTAGTCAAAACAAAAAAGAGTTTAAAAAAAAGTGCATAGGGGAGGTATGTACGTAGCGTACATGCACGTGTATATGCATAGACATTTTGTAGCTTTGGAAAACCAAAAGCAACAAATAATAAAAAAATGTTAATGTCAAGCTCGAAAGTAAGTTTGAGGAATGGACTGCAAAAAAAAACGTCTGCAGGAATTATTTCTTAAATTATGGCTTTTAGAACCAAACCACCAACAACTTTAAAAGCTTGTTCCCAAAAACTTTAGCAATTGTGATTGCCAAATCAGCCAAAATTGATCAAGCAAAAAGTTAGCAAAAAAGACAACTTCCAAACTAACACTGTTACCAAAGCTGGCTCACCCAAAAGAGGGACTGAGAATGACAATAGTGAGTAATAAGTTACCCCGCATCTTCAAGAATCAAGCTCTCCGCACTCTTTAAAGTATTAGTGTGGAAGAGGGCTATTAATTGCACACACAAGCACTACAATGATACAAGTCCATCCCGTTGAGTAGGTGGCCGACTCAATCAGATCAGACAAAGAGAACAACTTCTAAGCGAAAAGTCTTGACCCGCCTGATTTACCATTTCTAATGAATGAGGCCAGTTTTATTTTCCTTGTCTATGAACTGATTTCTGTCCTTGGGTGAACTGAATCCATCGGGTTCCCATATGCCTCTACATGCCATTTCATATTGTAGAACAAATGCACATTTTATTTCACACGGGCTATTAAAATTAATCACACGCTGTATTATGGTGTACTTAAACCGAATGATAGATTATTGTTTCTAAAGTGAGTAAAGTGACAAAGAAACAGTGATCATCACAGTTCAGTGAAGAACAAACAGTAGATTACCAATAATCTTTACAAGAACAATCGCCGTTTGTGAAGTGATGGAAGCGACTCCGGTCTCTAACAACAATCTCTCGGCCATAGATTTTGGATACGATCTTAATGGCCAGATGACAATCTGCGCAAACCCTCAAGTTCTTCAAGATTCTGATAGGAGTCCCGGGTGGTGTATTGATCAATGCAAAAGCAATTGCGATCTTTTCGCTGTGATATGAAAGCGCAGTCTCCTTCTCCTCTTCCTCTATGTCAGCAAGCACATTCAGTGTGTGAGGGACATACCCTTCAATTCTCAACAGTTTGGTCATTTCTGCAAGCTTTGCATAAATGGGTCGCGTTTGTGGATGTGATAAATCTCCCATGACGAATTCATGCACGTGGTTTCCCAACTCGACCAGACTGTGGCCCGGCACTTTCTTCACCCCTCCTTGAAGCATTTTTTCCCTCAGCATATGCACGTCCGACCACCGTCTCCCTGATGCGTAGAGATTTGAGAGGAGCACATAGTCGCCGGAATGTGTGGGGTCCTTCCGCATTAGTTGGTTTCTTGCAACTTCTGCTAGTTCAAAATTTCTGTGTATAGAAGACGAGCCAAGCAGGGTTCTCCAAATCACGGCATTGGGCTCCAAAGGCATGTTTTTGATGTATTCGTATGCTCTATTCACGAAACCGGCTCTTCCCAATAGATCGACCATACAACCATAGTGTTCTATCTTCGGCTTAATTCCAAACTCTTTTTGCATCCTCTCAAAGTGGGAAAATCCCTCATCCACCATCCCGCAATGGCTACAGGCATAAAGCACGCCAACAAATGTGATTTCGGTTGGAACGAACCCTTCCTCTTCCATCTCCTTGAAAAGATCAAGAGCCATATCACCAAATCCATTGACAGCCAATCCGACAATCAAAGAAGTCCAAGAAACGACATTCTTCTCCTCTAACTCATGGAAAACCTGTTTTGCTTCCCTTATCTCTCCACATTTCGAATAAAGATCAAGAAGGGCATTGGCAGCATGTAAATTCCTATCTAATCCCATTTTCACCATATACACATGAGCCCTCCTACCCAAAGCCAGAGCCCCCAGTTCAGCTGAAGCAGTGAGCAAACTCACTAAGGTGAACCCGTCAGGCCGAACACCTTCCAACT